CGCGCTCTTCCGTTATAAAAACCTTAAATAGAAGGCTTTGACTTGAAATGTAAGTCCTAATGAAAACAAACTGCATTATTGATGCAATCATATCTGCAGAAGCAGGAGACTATCTGTATTTTGTTTTTAATGTTAATATCTAGATATCCAAGCACACTTATGAGATTTAGCTGAACTAGTGGTTGTGTTAAATTTATGTAGAAAAGTTTAGCACACATTCTATAAATTTTAACCTTTTTTATATTCATCAGCCTTTCAAGTAACATTTTATAAGTTGGACATAAAAATAAAGTAAATACCACATTTATATAAATAGCAAAGAATTATTTCTGATCCACCCTAATGCTAAAAGCTTGGACATGTTATTGTTTGCTGTTTAAAAAAGGCATTGTTAAATCCACCATGAAGTTTATAAGGCAGAAAATGAGACGTCAGATTTGTGACACACACGCATACACGCAGTTAGAATATTTTATTGTATTGGGCTATACTATATTCGTTTTGAGGACAAACCTAAACCAACCAAGCCAAACCGAAAGCCATGCATAAAGCTCTTATAGCATTTTATTGTGCATTAATTTTAATTAACCTCATATTTAACTGCGTAACAGGCCGCTTCATAAACGGCCAACTAATTAGAAAAGGGTTTCTCCCCACATTGGCCACATAATCACTGGCAAAGGACAACAGAACATGGTGCTTAACTCACCATAAAATGTAACCGAAATGGTCAAAAATATGTAGATATTTCAATTACGAAATTGAAGACCCAAAAGGGGCACGCACAGGACCAGCCTTGCATGTAAAAATCAACTGTAAATATATAGGAAATTCCACATTTTCATAACACTATAACATACGTACATATACACATTCATAGGTGGGAATGGTCGCTCTATAGGGCCATTTAGTTGGCAGCCAGCAAATATTTAAATGCAATTTGCGAGGGCATAAGTTATGACCACGGAAAGTTGCTAAAATAAAAATGTGGCTAAAATCGAGTTACAACAAGTTGAGTGCCATTGAAATTGGCGTTATATGTCTGCCAAAAAATGAATTTGGCAAGCGACACACGCACTGACTGCTTTTTATGTGCGCCTTCGGTATGTAAGCATATTTGTTTGTGTGTGTGTGTGTTTATGTAAATGCTGTGCTCATAATTTATCTCGCTGCAGAAGGGCGAAGTATGCCAAGCATAACAAGAAATATATGTACTTAACTTAAAATTTTTTTGACATACTTCAAGGCGCCGCACACACCTACACAGATGCTGGCAACGCCAAATTGAAATAGGGACAGAGACGAGGAAGCAGGGAGGGGGTGTGGCAGAGGCGACAGCTTCAACTTGTTGACGTTGCCAGCAAACGGATGTGTACGCAAGTAGTGGGCGTAAAACGCTGGAAGGACGTGGCAGAGGTAGCAGCAGCAGCAGCAGCAACAAAAAAATCACAAAGCACAGAATTCAACAAATTGTTGAATGTATGTATACATATACTATATATGGTCATATACAAATACATGTATATACAAGTAATATGCATCTGTCTGTGTGTGTATAAGCAAACGTCATGGTGCGGCCTTTGTGTTGTTGCCGTTGTTGTATACTTGTAAAAACCAACACACGGCATACATTGGGCGCTGGACTAACTGTTTGTGGTGTGTCTCTCTGTCTGTCCCGCTGTTAGTATGTACGAAAATATTAATGTATATGTGTGTGCGAGTGTGTATCAAGAGCAAAGGAATGTAGAGAACGAAACGCCTGCCCAAAGCCGGAACGAAACATAGTTCGTCCAAGCAGTGCCTGTTGACGCTGAAACCAACCAAACGAGGGCTGGAGTTGGGGACGAAGGCAGGACGAGCCATGAAACGTTAAAGAGCAAATAAATGGTCCGAAACAAACAAACGAAAAAATTCAAGAAGCAAATCATACACACACACCCACAGACATAAACTGAAGCAATTTAGTTAGGTGGTGGGGAGAGAGATGAGGAGGCAGCTAACATCCTATGTGCCCAGCAAAAACAGCAACAGCGGTCGCTACAGCCTCAGCCGCTGTTGCCAACGTCGACGTCGACGTCATTTTACTTGTTGTTTTTCTCTGCCCAGTAAAGTGCGTAAAACGCAGGCAGCTAACAAAACCCTGCACCACTCTCTGCCCACTCTTCAGCTGGATGGGAATACGTGTATGTGTGTGTGCTTTGAACATAAACTTTGGCCAAACACACCGTTACACTTTTATGTACATACACATATATATACTCGTACATATGTACATATATATGTATATACATAAAATTGTTTTTTATTATTATTATTATTTTAAATTTTTTTGGGACAGTTCTTTTTTGTTTAATTTCTGAAATATTTGGTGCATTATTTTTTCCACAGAATTTTAGGCACCCTTTTGTTTGTTTTCAATTTGATGTCGATTTTTTCTCTTAGTAACACTTTTCTTATATGCCATTTATTTACATTTTGCTTGATTTTTTCTACAGATTGCTTGTACTTGAATTTTTTATGAAGCCACAACGAACGAACGCACGCACATGAACACATACATTCTCACACATATATACCGTTTTCTTCTTTCCGCGGATGTGTGTGCGCGGCCATTAACGTCTCACGATGCAAACAGATCGAAATCTCGCTTAACACTGTTGCCTGGTCTGTTAGACATTTGGGATGTCTGCGAATGATGCTGCATTAACAGTACGCTGTTAATTAACATTGCATGACTATTTCCTAAGCAGAGTGAGCATTGAATACGGCCAATAGGTCAGTGTTAACAGTGGTGTTAGGGACGAGAAATGCTAACGCAAGTAAATGCTAAAAAGTAAACTACACAGACCCAGCCAAAATAAAAGAAGCACTGGTGGCAGTAAAACTTTTCAATCTGTTTTTATTCAGCCTCAGTCGGAGTCCCTGTTAAATTATATTTATTAAATATGCTGTTGCATATATTGTGGCCATAACATCTGTTTTCTATCAACCATTGCTGCTGTGGGCAATACGAGTATTACCCGCTCTGTTTACGATGAGCTACACATAGTATATAGTAAATGTGTGCTTGCGTGTGTTGATGTGAGCACACGTTGATTTAAAAGGCAGTTTATGGCACAGTTTCCGTTAAACCAGACTATGCAAAATAGTTTTGCTTACGGCTATTTATCTTTATGTGTGTTTGTGTGTGTGTTAGTGTGCTTGCTGTGTGCATTTGTGCGCAGCCATTGTTATAGTTATGCTTGCTGGCGGCTAAAGGTAATGTTGCCATTTTTATGCGTTGATTTAAGGCATAGAAAATGAACAGCACGAAAACTTCCGATGCAAGTTTTACATACATATACAATGAACATACACACGCGTATAAATGTATAGTACATATACAAAACAAATTGTTGATTGAGATTGAGCTCTCGGTGAAGAGGCAACGGACATGTTACCAAAACCTGTCTGATGAGTACGAGAGTGTATTTGTGTTGATGTATGTGTGTGTACACAGTCGAACCCAACAATACAAGCCAAGTCAGCAACGCGGATAAAAAGGAAGCGTTCTAAAAATGGCGCCCCGCACAAAAAGCTAAAACAGCCACAGCAGACGAGAACGTGCGCAGCATCGTTGTTGTTGTCTTTGGTGCTGCTGGTTTTGCTGTTGCTCCAGAAGCGTCGCGGCATGCGTAAAACACGCACATACACACACCTTTCCTAATGGTGCGCTGTGCTTACATTCATGCCACCGAGGGAATACACATTTACATACGTACATATATATGTTTGTGTACCTATTATATGTGTGTATAAAGTGCTTCTGTTACGCGCCATTTCATTTTGGTTAGCATTGCAGGAAAATGCCTAAAACAACAGCTTAAATATACACCCAGACGTAATTACAACCGCACTAATTACATTCTGTTGAATCCACAATTCAAATTGTGTGTACGCTACGTTGTCTACGTTTGTTTATTGTACGTTTGCATAGTTGATTCCGCTTTAAATTTTAGGTGGCTGCTGCCATAACGCGCTCACCTCTGACGGCGTCGAGCACACGGCGTTGACTGAGCAGCCCGTGATTCGATTCACCTTCCTGTGCGTTCAGTGAGTGCGCAATGTTAACGCACAATGCGACATTTGTGGGCTGCACAGTTGCCACTGTTAAAGTTAACAGAGCCTTGAATACTCTTAACAGCTCCCTGTAGCTGGCCAGCCAAGTTACTAAGTTGGCCAATAGGTCAGTTACACTGCAGTGCTTTCAGTTTGCCGCAATGTTTCGCAAATTTCACTGTTAAATATTCATTTCCATTAACAGACACTGCGAAAAATCGCTTGCTCCATCATATGTATTTGTATTCTATAATTGGTTAATATTTCTAACTAATATTAAACAACAAAGTACATACAATAATATTAAACCGGATTAAACGTCTTCCACAACTGATTTTCTATTATAATCCTTAATTTATTGCAAGGAAATTCTATTTATACACTGTAAATGAAGGGTAAAAAGGTATACTACCGTCTGCCTGTCTTTATGAACCCTAATTCTCCAAGGACAGAGAAAGTACAAGCTTGTGCTTCTGTCTGAGTAACTCCCACTGTTTTTGCTGTTGCTTTGGCCCAGCTCTTTACTGCAACCATACACGACACAAAGTCACGCATAAACACGCATATTGTTTTGTATTGAAACCGTTAATGAACGCATATAACGGTCCCGCCCTATTCTAACTTTACACTCCTGTGTTGATTTATGTTTTTCGATTATTTTCTTTAATTTCAATTTTTCATTTTCTTAATATTGTTCCGATAGGTGTTATAGTAATTACGGCTCAAATTTCTTTGTGCTGTGTAAAATGTTATTGATGGATGTTTTTCTTGTTACCTTATATGTATATTTCCTTTACATCAATAGCCTTGTTTGTCGTCACAAAATTGCTTCTGTTGCTGCATATTTTAAGCTTAAGACACAGCTTGTGTTTAATTCAAATTTAAATCAATTTACATAAGTATTATAGCTGAGGCTCCTCATTAAGCACCACTGGCTCGCCATCCAGCTTACGTATGGTTGGCAAACGTTTAATGCACTCTGCCCGCCACGTGGGCTCGTCTAGGCCCTCGGACAGTGGATTACCCACAACGACCAACTCCTGCAATGACTCGATTTCGGCCAAACGATTGAATTCTGACCAATCTTTGATCAAATTATTGCTTATGTATAACACTTTCAGGCATTTAAGAGCATTCAAGCCCTTCAACTTTTCTATTAGGTTATAGCTGAGCCAGAGTTCCTCCAAAGTTTCAGCGACAGCTTCCTAATGGACGAGTGCAGCTATATTTTTACGGATTTAAAGGACATTGTATGGACTTACCAAACCCGATATTTGTTTAATGTAATTGCGGGATAGAGAAAGCACACGCAGACATTTCATGCCATTCAAGCCAAATATTTTCTCAATCATATTGGTAGACATGCTAATGTGCCTGTAAATGGTCCCAGTTGCTGTTTAAATCAAATTTATTTCTTGTGCGCCCAACTTACTCGCAGTTGACGAGGGTGCCCAGCGTACTGTCCATTTTTTCTATGGGCGGCCATTGGAATTGCAAATCAATGTACTTGGCATTCAATGAGTTTTGTTGTTCGCGCTCCTCCCAGCGTTTGAGCGCCTCCTTAATGGTTGTGGCCTTGGACATTTTGGCAATTCACAATTGACCTATGCAGTCCTCAACCAATTTATGCGTACAAAAAAGCCTGAGACAAATGATAAACAAGTTCATCGTTGCTATTGGTAACAAGCCCATAAATGTAGGCAACAGTTTCTATAAAGCACATCTATTAAGAATATGCCGGAATGCCATTTAAGTTTTAATATTGCTTAAAGTAAACGCACGATTCCATTTTTAAACAGCTTTGAGGAAAGCCCTCCTATCCTCACGCAAAAAGTATCGTTCCTAGAAATATCACTCTTTGCGACAATGACCTAACTGACCCCAGAGTAAATTGGTTTTCCATTTGATATAAACTGGCATTGAGTATAGTATATAAAAGCGAATGATTTCTTGTACATCTTCTGGAAAAATACATTTTTGTATTTGTTGGTAATCGATTCAAAATTCTACAGCAGAGTTTGTTAGCATTGCAGTTAAAGCTAAGCGCTAAATAATAGTCATAAAAGTTCTTAACGACGATCCGTCTTGCCTGTGCCACGCTTTCCGGAAAACAAATGTCTGGGCATTTTGGTGCCGATGAAGCGATCCGCCTCGCCTTTCAGACCCATCTTTGTCACCTTCTTGGCAATGTCGCGCTTAGCCATATCATGTGCCTTCTTCCTGATCGCCAAATTCTTAATGCCCATAGTATCGCGTGATGGTTGGCGTTTCAGAGGCTGTCCGGTCTTCTTAACAATTGCAGACGATTCCTTGTCCAACAGTGGTAGCTTCGGAAGCTTCTTGGATCCCACAGCCACAACGCCACGACGTAGATCGACTACGGATTTTGTGAAGTTGGCATTTTCGGTTCCAGACATATCAACACCAAGGCTCTCCATCGTCTCAACCAGTTTGTGGACAGAACGATCACGCACCTTGGGTTGCTTGTTGCGTGGTATGACTGGCTTGTTCTTTCTGGCGGAGAGACGCTTCTCGTCGCGCAGATCGAAGCGTTTTCCTCGTATCAATTTTGCCATTTCGCGAATCTCCTTAAGAGTTTCATCCATGGTCATATCGGGCACTTCGTAGACACCACTTGCCTCTCGCAAGCCTTCCTCGCGCTCAAGCTCCTCAAGTTTGTCAAATATGTCTGGATCAATGTAGTCTGCAATGTTGCGGCCTTCCCAGAATTCTGGTATCACATCGTAGCGCTCTTCCTCTGGTATTTCTGCGTAATTTTTCTTCAGGTCAAGCGTGTAATCGTCACCCATCTCTTCCTCTATTTCTTTCTCAAGCTTACGCTTCCGTTCAGCCTTGGCCGCGTTTTCTTCCAAACGCGCCAAAGCTTGAGGCGGAATGAATGGTGTACGCTCTTTGTCATCTCGGGGCGCCGGCATTGCTACATGCAGACGGTTCAGGATGTTGTCTACCTTTTTGGTGCGCATTTTCTGATCCACACGATACGAGAGCAAACGCTCGCATGCCTCTATTTTCACGTCCATGACACCGGTCTCCTCCACTGTGGACATAAACAAGACAGGCACTTGTTTATCCTCCTGCAATTTTGTGATTATGGCTTGCCGCTCGGGGGCCAAATCCTCCAGTGACAGGATATCAATTTTGTTTATAGCCAATATAAGTGGTTTATTTGTGAACAGTGGCTTTATGCTCTCAAAGAGCTTCACCTGCTCCTCCAGCGAGTGGCCACACTGCTCCGAAATATCCATGAAGTACAACACGCAAGCGCGTAAATGAGCCAAGGCAGTGATAGCCTGCATTTCAATGACATTGCGTTCCTCCAGCGGGTGGTCAAGTATGCCGGGCGTGTCGATGACCTGCCAGCGCAAATATTTGTAGTCTGTGTGACCCACGTACAAGGACTTGGTTGTGAAGGCATAGGGCTGCACCTCGACATCGGCGCGTGTGATTTTGTTAATGAACGAAGACTTGCCCACGTTTGGGAACCCGCAGATAATAATAGTACGCGAGTATGGATCGATTGTTGGTAGACGTGACAAATGCTGACGTACTTGCTCTAGATATGTCAAGTTAGAAGCCTGACGCTTCATAATAGTAGCCATGCGACCCAAGGCGGCCTTTTTTAGCTGTTTGCAGCGATATAACGAATCACCGTACTTCAACAGGCGCACGTAGTCCTTGGCCACACTGCAAGCAACAGGAAAATTATAATAAAACTAATAATTACTCAACATTAAATACTTACTTATCTATCAGATGTCTGGCTGTGTTTAACTGGCCCAATGCCAATTTGTAATGGTCTTTATCGTACAGCACATTCATCAGATCTGCATAAAACGGGTGGACATCATCTAGCTTGGGGAAATCCTGTATGATCTGCGACAGTCGGTCGTGGAAATTCTGTTGTGTATACTTCACCTTTCGCGTGTAGAAGGCACGAATACGCGATATTTTGTAGTTCTTGTGCACGACGGTGGGAGTCTTACGCTGGGTCTTGGACAGCATAATGTCGATGAAGTCCTGCGGATAAAGAAACAAATGTTATTATTTACTTTTTCGGACTGCTGCGCAGTTTGGTAAACAGAAGCACGAGGTTAGGTTGGTGCTCCGTTGGATGTAAACAATGGGTTTTGGTTTAATGATGCTCACCTTAGCTGGCGGGACCACCATTATTTTCTTGAAGTTGTACAAACTCATTTTTGTAGATTTTTTAACTTTTTTCCACGCAAAATCAAGGAAAAAGTTAATTGCAGCACCACGCGGTGCAAGATAAAAATTCCAAAGGGACTATCGATTATTTTTACACATTATGCAAGACATCGATAGATTTCCATCGGCTACAGATGGGTCGTGATTTGCTGCTGGGACACGATTCTAATATTTTAAAAGTAATTTGTGTGCACATTCCCCCAATTTGTTAGATTTACTTTCATTAGTAAACTTTGTAAATTGATTAGATATTTTATTTTATAAATGTTATCCAATTGTGTTCCTAGTTCAAAGGAAAGGAATATAGGCAATTGTCGATCCCACCCCTACTATCGATAGTTTATGAGTTCTAAAACTCCTGAAGAAAAGAGAATTCCGTAGAGAGCCGTAAGAAACAAATACAGTAATTAGACGAGCCGGGCGCAATAGGTTTATAGCTGATAAATCTCTTTTGCAAACCTTGAGGAGATTTAATAGCAAATTATTGGAAGCTGTCACTACGAAGCTTTGTAGCGCGCAAATTTTCCAAAAACTTAAAATTATTTTAAATCAGTCAAAATGGAGACCAAAACATCACCGTTTCTCCTTACCAAGGATCAACTATCAAAAATATTGCATGAAATTCCTGCCGGCTACATAAAACCCACGGACCCGCTTCTTGTTGCCACAATGCCGCCCTTACCACCTTACCAAAAGCTTGGAGTGCTTGTCGAACGTGACGATATTGTAGACGCTGGCCAGTCTACCATATCCAGTCAAAGCTGTAACAAGAACATTCCGACTAGCGTAACACAATCCTACACCTGTGCCGAGTGCAAACGGACTCTTCCCACAGCGCACCTGTTGGACCTGCACATCACAGAGCAACATGACACGTACTTTGCAGCTAGCGTGGAACGGGGCGATAAGCCTATGTTTTCCTGTTACCTCGAGGAATGCACATTTAAAATGCACACGGCGAAAGAGCGCAAGGATCACTGTATAACTGTACATAAGTTTCCTCCGAACTATCGATTCGATCAGTCCAAATCAAAGGCCTATCACGAAAAGAGCAGGAACGAGGCATCAATGGATGTTGACGAGCTGGCCGGACCAACTCACAACAAAATCCCATACATCAAAGCTTTCAGCTTCGGCCATTACACACAGAGAACCTTCAACACCCGCAGGGAGCGACGCGAACCCGGCACCACTCTGCTCGACGTACAGGATATGAAAGATGCACTAGAGGACATGGACTAGGAGATGGATAGTAATAGTACTTGTAGTTAGGGTTCTATTTATTATGCGAAAGAAACATCAATACATTATATGAAAGCATGTGTTATTAGTGTACTTGCGGAAACCTTGAACATCATTTAGCCTTTGAGGTGGATCTAGAATAGAAGTAAAACATTGTGTTGTATATATAGTTTATATGCATGTTTTTGTATCATTAATTTCGAGGACTGTTTCGACTTACTTGCCCGTGTTGGCATTAATGTAGTGATAGGCCACAACCAGCAGAAAAAGAAATACACCCAAAACGTTGGAGAATATAGCCAATTGTACGTCACTGATCATTTTTAAGTCGAGTCAATACTGTAAACAACATAAATTGAATAAAATTCTTGCTAGTGACACGTCATGTGTGTAAAAACCCATTGTAATTATCAAAATCACAGAGAATTTACGATTTTCTCATATGCATTAATTCGGTCTTAAAGTAAGAACGCTAAACAACGTTTATAACGCTAATTAATAAAAACATTTAACCTTTTCCTCGCGAGAAACAAATGGGCCGGCTTCAATTAGTTCCGTGTTTTGTTACAGATTGTACACAAGTTAGGAAAATAGGGCTGCAAAAAACATATCGATGACATGAGAGCATCGATACTACAATTTGCACGATAGGTCGATATTTTTCAGTGCTGCATAATTCTCTTTTTTAACTCATTGCCCGCGTATATAAATTAAACAACAGATGAAGTCCTTCAGGAGGCACATTGACTACTCAATTTTTAATATGTATTTATATTTAATCAGTCGCAGGGTGCAAAAAAAAAAAACAACCCTCGGCAATATAATAATATGTAAATATAAAAATATGATTATTTTGTGTTGGTCCATATCAGGTATTTTATTGTAAACATTGTTTTATTGTTTTAACAAGTGAGTTTTTTGAATAAGGTAGTATTTATTTTGTAAATATACGCCTAAGTTGTGCTTAACAATAAAATTAATACTCCATGTGTTACATAACACGTTAAATTAAACTTGCTTATCTATTAAAGGCCACGGTAATAAATTTAAATTTGCTAACTTAGACTAAATATGTACGTTCACAGAAGACATTTAAGTGCACTTGCATCGACACAATTAGACAGATGAAATAGCAACTTTATATTATTAACATAAGTTAAAACAAGTTACTGGTAAATAAAAAAAATCGACTGCTCTGCCCCGCCCTGCACATGCACTTTAACACATTCATACACTTATGGCATCATCCACCACTCCCTGTTTTGTCTATAAATTATGGAAATTGTGCTTTAAGCTTCCGCTTAAATTGTTAATTTTAAGAGAAATTGTGTGTTAATTTGTCGGCGCAATAACCGATGTCGTCGTCGTTGTTGTTGTACTTATATCTTGCGTTGTATGAGGCAAGAAGTAGGGCTTTGAGCTAGAATTCTGGAACAAATCGGACACATACTTAGCCTGAAAAGAGAAAGAGACAGTAAAATAAAGTCAATTAGAAAACACACAATAAAGATGCTCCTAAAAGTATGTGATATAGGGAAGCGTCTACGGTAAGCAACAAAAAACAAAGATCTATAATTATCTTTAATTAAGAATCTTTAATCATGTATGTATGTATATGAATTTCCTATTATAAATTGCATATTTTACAAGGCACATTGAAGCGTGAAATTGCAGTAAACAGCTGCAGTACTCGTATCTATCAAGTTGCATGCCTCCCCTATCTGTAAGCGATTCCACCTGAACTGCTGTCGGCTCATGTTTGCATTCGACTCTCAAGACTGCCAGGTGTCATTACTGTCATTACCGATATCGGCTTAGCTTTATCTGCATGCAATTGAGTCAGTGTTTTGATTGGCAGCACGCAATGCCTGGCAATCGCCTCAGGAAGGTGTTGAGTTATGACAAAAACTACAATGAATGCCGCATTCTTTCATGGAAACATGGGACGATAGAAACGCAAATTATGGATTTATGAAATTTTAATCTCTCTCTATCTCTCTATTTAAGCTTAATTTACAAAGTCATGTGTGCGAAGTATGGGAGAAAACATTTCTCCCTGTCCCTCTCTCTGCCTTCAGAATCACTCCTCTTTGGTGGACCAAACTGTATTCCAATTGAACCAGTTTTTGGGCACAAAGTAGCTCTAAAAAGATGGGTAAGCAATTGTGAGTTGAAAGTGCCACAAAGTATAGCAAAAACTTGAATAAAAATCAAAGCGAACATAAGCAGGGGAGAGTGCATGCAATATTTCTTGGAAAAACGCAACAGAGTCTTGAAATCAAATCCAACTTACCACAACAATGGCACAGAGAGCGCCTATTGTCGAGCCGGCCAACACATCCGACCAGTGATGTTTATAGTCCGACACACGACTCAGAGCCGTATACCAGGCAATCATGATGAACACAAACTGCAGAAAGTGACGCAACAGCCTCGATCCACGCCAGGTCATGCGTGCCTGCAGATAAAGCTGGAAGAAAATGCCGCAAACAATGTACCAATGATATACTAGACACACAAGGCAGCACAACAAACAAAACTTACCGCCACATAGACCATCGTGTAGAAGGTGAAACTGGAGTGTCCGCTGGGAAACGAGAGGCGCATCTCTTTGAGCATGCGCGCCGACGAGCCATCACCTACACAGCGAAAATCTTGGATGTATTTGCCAGCATTGCTCGGATCACTGCAGGTGCTGCCATCGGCCATAATGGGTTGGCAAACCTGTGAAAGTAAAGAACGCAATAGGCTGAGTGGAAGCACTAGAACACAGAGAGAAAATAATACATATTTTAAGTGCAATTGGCCGCCTCTGCTCTGTTTTGTGAATTAAATCGGCTTGGCGCGTAATTCGAAACACGCGGCATTTGCGCAAAAACAGTTTAACCAACAAGGCTGCTCTGGTTGGGCGGCATGCAGACATACATACATTCATATGTATATGTTTATATGAACATATGTTGCATATTACGAATATTGCATTATGTTTTATGCGCAATTATGCGGCGCTGTTGCCGATCTTCACTCAACAATAGGGCGGCACTGTGCTCCCTAACGCACAGCTGCAAATGCCGCAAGTGACAAAAAAAAAAATACCAACAAGCGGCCGCACCCCTCCACAGATAAGCTAACAAGATATATGTATGTATGGATGTATGTTTATATGTAGTAGATATACAAAAATAGCTAAACAAAGCCCAAAACTTCCAGAGCTACGCCAAAACGATAACAACAAGAATTGGCGCATGTAGCATAAATAAACAAGCGCAAAAAATAATAGCAACCCGGGTGTCACTTGAAGTTATGCGTGCAATCCAATACCCTAACGTCAAGTCGAACTTGCCGAGATATAAGTACATAAGTATACGAGTACATACAAATATCCATTCGTATGCAGATATGTATATTAATAGCTGTGATGGATTGGCACGTCGTGTGTGTCTGCCAAACGGAATGGCATGACATCCTGCGGCACATGTTGTAAATTAAAACTAATTGGCAATGTCAAGTAGTGTCGGGACACGGACACACATTTAATTGCCTTTTAATTATTGCTTCGACTTACCGCCATGAAATGTGGACGCAGACGTCCAATGGAGTACTTGGCTATGTCCGTTGTCAACTGACTGATGGCGGCGCCAAAAACGAATATGCCGATTTTCTTATAGCATTCGACCAGCCAGTCGGGAATCTGGTATTCCATGAAGACATAACGGCGCGAGGTCGCATTCCCATTGCCATACTTCGCATTATCCCGCGAGATGAGCAGCTCGACGGTGAGAAACTGTGGAAGAGCAGAGAAAGCCATTAACATATTTCCTTTTAGCACCTCATAAAAATGTCTCAAGCCAATGGTAAACCCTTTTCTTCTTGGGAAACGCAGTTAGCAGAGCCTCGTATGCAAATAGTTATAGTTCTCTACATGATCTCTCGATGGGTGCGACCTCGTACTGCATAATTAGTTGTACATTTTTATGACTGGCTATTTGTGCCGGAAAGGCCAGATGTTGTTGGGCACAAGTCTGCTCTAATTCCAATTTAATTACAGACATGTGGACAACTCGACACACACATGCAGACAACACAGCACTCCGTCTATCTACTATATTGGGGGTGTTTCGAGCCATTGCGTCAGTTCGAAATAAATAAAAATGTAAACAAATGTTTCACAAAACTGGAGCACTGCGCAACTGCACTTTTCGTTTTATAGCGATGTCTAGTTCATAATAATTCTGTTCATTTTTTAATGTGTGACAATGGTCTATCGGCAATTGTGAACTTGAAATCATTGCGCAATGGGCTTTTACAACGCACCAACTGACAGATGCTTGAAGTATTTTATGGGATAGCCATATGAAAACACTTGGGAACTGCAGAACTCAAGTGCCTCCTGGGGGGAGTTTAGAGACACACTGACATCAAATCAACAAGCTATTTAATTGGCTCGCTTGATGGCATGTACATAAAAAGTCGTTTAATCAATCTATGGGTGGCCTCCGGAAAAACCCCACAAAAAAGATGTTAAGCGATTCTTTAACAAACGAAACCGAACTTAAGCTCGGATTTTCAATTAAATGGGAACCAGACAACGATTTTTTCAACTTTTTTTTCAGAACTCCTAGGGTATGAGCAATTTCGAGTTCTGTAAGCGAACATATAGCATGTTCCAATACTACACATTCTAAATATTCTTTTTAGTTCTTGAAAAGAATACGTGAAATGACTTTTTATTTCATTAAAAAAAAACAATCATTTTGAAAAAAGTAGTCAGTTTCTTTAGCTATTGCTGTTTTTTAACCATAATCGCTTTAAAAGCATTATGATAGTTTTGAACTCTTTGTATTAATAATCTTCAATAAAGTAGGGAAAATATGTGATACACATTTTTAAGAACGTCCTGCAATTTCAATTTCGGGCATATGAGCAGGCCTGATTGCGCTTGGAAGGGATTTCATGCCGCTTTCTTTGGGTTACTTACCACCACACCTGGTATGACCAGTCCAATGATGTACAACATCCAGTTCCGGACGGTGGACTCCTTAAATGGGTGCTTAAGCGATTCATCGTCACAGAAAAAGCCGCGCTTGTATGGATCTCCGAGCAGAAAGAACAGAAGTATGGGAAAGCCAACTGCAAATAGAAATATTCAAAAGATTCAAAAACTTGAAGTCAAACATTCATACACACACATACACACATAATACGAGCATAAATAATGCAACAACATTTATCAATATTTCTTTTTAGTAGGTCATTGGGACTTAAGTGGCATTATCTACTACGTAGTGTGTCTGCCATTTGAAAAATTTTCAACTGTCAGCGCTCCCCAAACTTTATATGAATGACACTGTTGACTTATGATAGGGCTGAGCCATTGATAAGATTGCTGCGAGACGTGTGCGGAGTTTAAATATACATACGAATACGAGTATGAAAAACCAATAAACTATGCCAGCCCACTCCTATACGTTAACCAACAGCTGGGAGCATAAATTCCCTAGAGGCCCTTTCACCAAGTGCTGCCGCTGCCGCTGCCTTAGCTTGTCGGGGTGCTGGTGCTGTCTAATTAAAAATGCACTGCCATCAATAATAACAACTCAAAAACAAATTGAATGGAGTGCGAGCAGACAAATAGGCAACGCTTTAGTCACATTTGATTGATTGATTGATCAAATGCCTTGCCTTGGGCCATCTATCAACAAAATAAATTGTAAAGCTGCAACAACTTCAACTGCGATCTAATGAAAGTGTCAGCGGCACTTGAAAAATGTTTGTTTTTGGAAAGAGCTCTCCACGGGAGCGCAGTTCATAATTAAAATTGCATTAGCCTGTGCTGCCTTCCCTAAGTTGCCAGAGATTCCAAACGATTTCAATGAAGCGGCAATGCGTTGCAATTGCGCGTAGTACCTGCCTTCGTGGCAAGGTTATTGCCAGCCACGATCAGCGAGGCGTTTCAAATTAGAAAACCAGAAACTTCACTGATGCATTAGCCTAGCAAGGGGCAGTACACGTGAAAAATACTTCGTAGAGAGAGAGAGAGAGAGAGAGAGGGCGAAATTTGGTCTTATGAGCAAAATTTAAAAACATACTTGAAGAACCACGCACGAATCTAGATAAATCCAGCCCAATAAATTTAGCAAGAGTCGTACACTTCTGACGCATAAAAATCTGGCATTTTTAAAAGATAGCTCTTTATTCATAAACCAAGCGGATTAAAATGAGAATTATGATCTTGCATAAAGTATAGCAATTAAGATAATACTGCGAACGAGCCATGAAGTTTGCTTTTCTGTAACAATTTAATGAGAAAGATCAAGGGCGTACATAGCTTTTTCAAAAGGGGGGGCTCCAAAATAACAAGTTTGATTAAATAATGCGAGATGCGTTATAGTAATAATTTATACATCTGATATGTGCTATTAAACACAATTTGGAAACACTGCCCACTGGAGGCTGTATTCGACTATATGTAAGCATTAATATTACGACATAAATACTTAAAAGTATGCATGGAATTGGTTATTATTTGGTTGAGTTCGATTATAAGTATTTTATTGGTTTGTAAGCTTCAATTAAAATATGTGCTGCATATGTACGATATTTTTCTGAGTGTAGCCGTTGTTAGGTTAGGTTAGCTCATTAGGCAAATGACGGCGGCGCGGCTCATTACACGGCGTGGCAATGCGCCGGAAGACTGTCGCTAAATCTCGAGTGGCCGGCGGTTCAAGGCATTGGCGACATGGCACTTAAGGCGGCGTAAGCGCACGCCAGGAGACGCTGCCACTTAATTGCTTCCTATCGCTGGTGGAAAGCCAGGCTAACTGCAGGCAGCCACCATTAGGCACAACTGTCGCATTGTCATATTCGAAAATTAAGCTGATTCTGAGCATGACCTATGGCTATGCATATCTATAGAGAGAAAGGGAGTCTGACAAAGGTGACAAAGAATGAAAGGAAAGCCACCGCTTCAATTTTGCTGCTGGCAGCTGCGTTGAAATCTCTTTGGGAACAGGTCCCACTGTGCGTCGAACTGGAGCAGGCAGTCGACTCTTTGCCATTGTTCATTGCGATCTTTACGACCGTTTCGGTGCGGCTGGGAAAGTTCTAAATTGTTGGTTGCGGTGCAGTCGAGATTAGCGTCATATTACAAGAGCTAGTGAGAAGGAGTCTGTGGGCTCTGAGCTAATCCTGCCGAACAGTAGCCGACACATCTGTGTGTGGCTGTCATTTTTACGACTTTGCGACTGAAAATGAAAGTGTAGATGTGTTCCTTTGGATTATATCTTTAAATAGATACGAGTCTGTGTATGCCGATTAACTGGCTGAAATTTATAAAAAACATAAAAAATATTGTAAAATTCAGTTTCCAAAAGTAGAACGCTTTACAACTTAAACGAATTGTATTCTCTACATATGCTTATATATTTTTTGGGGGTGCCATAAAACGTTGACTCGACAGCACCTCCGACGCACACTAACGAGTATGTTACGCATATAGTAGGGGCTGAGAGCTCCAATTCGAGCGGAAATGCTTTGTTAAGTGACCAACGCGAAAACATGTAGGGGATACCAGCGGGCAGCAGCACTACAAAATGCATTTCAAACGAATTGTGGAACACCTAGCTCGCACATTGATAGCAGAGTGATAGCGGAGTGAGGGACGCGCCCAGTAAGAGCCACTCTAGAGGTAGAACGTACCTCCATGTCCACGTCCATTTGGTGTCAAGTTCATTTCAATAATAAAGCACCAAAACGCCGCGAATGCTTCAAGCGACCGTGTAATTCATATACTTGTATTGTATCCGAATATAAGTGTGTTTATATCGCCCAACAGAATTTAAGGCGAAAGCGCATGACGTCGACGATTTTCAACATCAACAAATTGTTTGATAAACAAAGAGGTAAATGCACACACACCACGCCAACTCGATGATGCTTAAACAAATTTAAATTGTCTACAAAGCATTTGCCGACCTACCAAAAAAAAACTGAACTAAAAAAAAAGACCAAACGCCGCCAAGTGTTATGCGTGCTTGCTGCTGTTGTTGCTGTTGTTGTAGTTGCTGCTGCGACAGTGTGGGTTTGCCTTTTGTCTTGACAGCAAACTCGTGCAAGTGCCACCGGCCTACACCACTCATGGCTACACATACAGACACAAATTGTAGCTTGTCTGGACAGTGAAAAAAATAATCAAGACTTCTGAGCTTAAGTCGATGTTAAACAGCAAGAACTGTACTATATAATCTTATCTGGAACTATGCCAAGAGCGAGAGGCTTGGTAGTCCACTTAAATTATAGACAGAGACCTCTTTCCGTTCCCATAAAACATGTGTCCTTTTTATACCCTGTACCCGTAGGGTAAAAAGGGTATATAAGGTTTGTGCAAAGTATGTAACATGCAGAAGGAAGCATCTCCGACCCCATAAAGTATATATATTCTGAATCAGCATGGCGAGAGAAATCGATCTAGTAATGCCCGTCCGTCCGACTGTCCGTCCGTCCGTCCGTCTGTCTGGATGAACGCAAGAATCTCAGAAACTATAAAAGCTAGAATAACCAAAGTGGGCATCCAGATTCTCCAAGGTCAGAGAAAGGACGAGTTTATTTTATTTTTTTTTAATTTCCCCCTGGGTACAGGGTATTACACTGTCGGGCTTGCTCGACTGTAGTGTTCTCTCTTGTTTAGTTTGTCATTTTAAAGCTAACATGGGAAGGAAAAGGCCAATGAACTGCTATACTTGTATCCTACTTGTATAACCTTAAAAGTTTCATTTGTCATTTAGTTGGTTTTTAAATGTCCCTAAGCCTGACACAGACAGCAAAAAAAAGCACAAAAAGTATTCACTCAAAATCAGTTTAATAATTTAAATCTAATTTTCTAATGAAACTGGACAGAATGATTAAAAATGCAGAAATAAGTACGGGTGAGATGAATCGATATACTATATCTGTCCGTTTTTAGCACCGTACTTTCGATTTGAAGTTAATGTGGCTGCTCTTGGAACTAGGAATATTCTTTGAAATGCTTCCATATTATTTAAAAACTCTAAAAAAAAACACATTTTCAGACAGGCAAATACTTTGCACACAAATTAGTCATTTTTAGAGAATATACTTGAAAAAATAAATTAAACATATAGTATAGATTTGTTTAGTTTTTGACAGTTAAAAGATAAATATATTTAACCTCGTTCACTGACGACAAACTTCTAGAGCTTTGATGGAGGTTCTATTCGGCAAGAGTTAAACAGCAAATAGAAATGCATTTCTCACAGTGTACAAGTGCGGCTGCACACTTTAAAGTTACGTCGTACTTGTTCGTTACTGTTTAAACAAATTGCCAAATGTTTACAAACACTGTTGATTCAATAAACAAGGGCGGCAAGTTGAACAATTAAAATAATCTTAAGTAACACGAGTATAAGTTGGAATTTCTGGTTAATTGCGAGTCGTAAAATTTTGCTCTGAGTGAACTTATATTTGATTTAAAATGGCCACCAGGGACACACACACATACATAGCTATTGAGATACAATCTCGTATATAAATTACAAGGGACAATTAACAAAGAGGCAAATGTCTAATATTCCAGACATACATACAACTGCTTTTAATGAACTGTTGCGGAAGTTAAATTAAGAACAATTAATGCCAAGATTTGCACTTTCAACCTCGCCAAGTAGCAGTGCAGCAGTTGAAGCAATTTTAAGGATGAGTGACAGACAGGCAGACGAACATCTCCCCTCCAACCACAAGAACGAACAACTTGCATTTGTCAATTGATTGATGGTGACAAGGACTTGGCGGAGCAATGTGTCTCTGTCGTAGCCTTGGCCAAGATCATAGACCTCCTCGTCATAATTGTGCAGGCACAGAAATCAGAGGGCAGGTATACATACTTGTACATAAGAAAGGCGATCGTTGGCAATTATGCGCTTGACTGCAATACAAAATCAGTGCACAAACAATGGCTGAAAAGGTTATCTAGCCCTCCTTTGGGGTACATGTGTGTCACATTTCTGGGAATTCCCAGCAATCCGTATACAATAATAGGTGTTGCGCAGGTAGCAGCTAAATAACGTCTTTCTTTTATTTGCGGGCCAATGCTGACTACATGATGATGATATATAGTACTATACTTGTATGATCATCATCACATTAAGGGGCTGAACACAAGCATTAAAATCTGGCAAAACACTGCAGGCGCAATTAAATGTTAAGTACTTTTCAAAACTGTAGCGAAATTGAAATTCCAATCCTCCACAATTATTGGTGGCTGCTGCAGTTTTTAATAAATGCGATGCACGTTTGTGTTTTTCTTTTCCCTATTTAGTGTGGATGCTTTCTGTTTGGATATAAATAAAGACAAATAAACAGTATTGTAATTGTTGTTGCTGCAGCAACAACCACAACAAACCAAAGGCATTGCATAAATATTATGCTTTCTACTTAGTTTTTGAAGAATTTCCTCATGCACCACAAATTGGTGCGGACTGCAGACCCCAAACATACTCGTACATACATACTGGCAGATATGTAGATGGGGTTTTGTATATGCATTTGATGAGTTTAATGACTTTACAAACTGTGGCAGAACCGAGTTTTCCAAAAACGAAAAACCACACACAAACACACGTGAGTGCGTGTCTCTGCTTCTTCGTATTCAATTAATGTCAGGGAGATCGGTTAGTGCCATTGACATGCCGTCACGCCTTGTCAAAATATATACGAGTATATGGAAGGAAAAGCCAAAAGTTGTCTTGTGGCAGCCAATTGGAAATCGCTTTTTCGTTTTCCTCTTCTCAGGTATCACTTTATCAGGTATCACTTTATCAACGACCAACCGACTCCGATTCCGACTAGCAAGAATGTGATCAGGTATGGAAATATCTCAACAGATATGGGCTGTGATACATTTTTAAACACAGCGCTCTACTAATTGGAATTTATTGGGGAAGCCTCTTTTTGTGTTTTAACATATTTGATTAAGTGCATTACAGATAGGGCGGGGAACTTTCTGAAACGCGCCCCATTTCTTATACTTACAGTATGTGGGCGAAGAAAATATAGTTGGTCGACTTAACAAAGTAACATTTTAAAACTTTTCAATTAGCACTTAATGGGCTACTAGCACGCCATAAAGCGTTTAAAATCGTTCAAAAGAGAAAAGTGTATTAACTGTTGCTCAATTTTGTGGGTGTTTCTAACTCTCTTATCGTTGCTGATAAGGCTTTCGACTTCTTTACAATCAAATCTATTTGCAACACATGACTCATACTACTTGTATAACCTTAAATATTTGTCAATACTTCCTCTGTACCTGGGTTGCCAGGCTGGTGTGCTTAATCATGCGCTGGCGACGCCTTTTGGGTTTAAGTCGCGCCATGTGAGTCAGCATGAAAGCTGACTACCTGAACCTTAAATCTACAGCTATGCTGGAAGAAAGAAGCACTAAGATGCGACCCCATCGAAAATATTTGCCACAGCAATCAACACAAAATTTATTACGTTCCACTGCCCCCAGAAAAGCGACGCACACAACCCATAATGGCAGGCGCTAAATTAAGTTTTGAGGTCTATGAGTTGCAAACTGGAAATATGGCGCGCCTACCGAGCAATTTACGTATCGCCAATTGCCCAGATACACAGAACAATTGTAGAGCCAAGTAAACACGTCAAAGTTGAAGAAGCAGATCGAGGTGTAGTTGTGACTCAACAAGGGGGGAAGAGCGCAGTACACAATGGCGATAATAAGTAAAGCTTACGAGAGCGTTCAGGTAACGCTTGTTTTGGAAGGTGAGTTGACGTCCCAACCCCAGCGAACCGGTTATATTTCGTACAACAAACACAAATGCAATTGCGACATAAAACGATGCACAACATTGTGCAAATAGGCTGGTGCACTTGAAATATCGTTACCAATTGGGTTTACCTATAGACAGACATTCGAATGCTACCTACAAATCTTAGGTGCTGATAATTGAATTTATTCGAAACTGCTGGTAATCACTTTTTGAATGCATAAAAACTCCCCCAACAAGGTGCACAATCAGCAATATCAGTTCATTTACCTCGGCGTGTGACACAATTATGCATTTGTTTAAACAATACACAAACAACGAGCTGAAGTACTGTCTGTGTAAAAAGTGCAGATGCAATAAAAGCTACACGGGCCAATTTACTCAGCTTTACAAAATCTTATGCACAATATACATAAAATCTAAACAGCGCTTTACTACTACAAGTATAAATAATGTTTATTGGACAAAAGAATACGGTTGAATATATTAGAAAGAGCAAAATCTTTAATTAAACAAGAAAGAAATGCTAAAGTCGAGCAGGCTCAACTCTTAAATACCCTGTACCGCCCCAAATTCTCGGGCTAAAGAGAATCTGGATACCAAGTTTGGTTATTCTAACTCTTATACTTTCTGAGATCCTTACGTTCATACAGACAGACGGACATGGATATCGACTCGGCTTGTCATGCTGATCAAGAATATATATACTTTGGGGGTCTGCCACGCCTCCTTCTGTGTGTTCCACGTACACCCGCACAAAACTAATATACTTTTTTACCCTTTGGGTACAGGGTATAAAAAGAGAAAACTCTTTTTAAATTTGTGATTCATCTTGAAAAGTCATTAATGTACGCAAGCTAAACAAAAGTTAACGACTTTTTCCATTGCATGGAAACATTGATTAAATCAATAATATTTGAAATAAGTCAATAGTGCATATACATATGTATGTATTTACATATGTACATATGTATACACTTGTGAAAACTACTAATTTGGTAATCTCAGTAAGCTATGAGAATTTATTGATGTCAACCACATGTACTAACAAACTAGTCACGAAATGTTTAAAACGTATTTTAATGGCACTCTACTGTCAAAGCACTAAGCCCGCAGCAGTTGCCCAAAGGGGAAAGAGTTGAATTTAAGAGAGTCCAAAAAAGAGCACACTATTAGCGTTCGTTTAAGAGCGCACTCAAGGTTGCTGCGGCATTCGCACACGCATACGCGTACACTGAGGCCACTTTTAATTACATAAAAAACAGAAAGAGAGCCGCACACAATAATGAAGGCAAACATAGCGCCAAAAACAAGCAGACGGCACAATTAATCAAACATTAGGTGCACAATCTTTTGAGCACATTTTTGGGGGAGATATTTGGTCAAAACATGATTAGACTTACCGCATAGCAGAATTATAATATCAAGGCCCACTCGGCACAAAATGCGTTTGTTTGTGTCCATGTTTTTTATGGTTAGTTGCTGTTGTGAGGAGCGTGTGTTGTTGTTGTTGCTGCCGCTGCTATTTCCGTTGTTGTCGTGCAGTCGCACTTCGATGTTGCTGCTGTCGTAGATGTTTTTGTTGCTGCTGTTGGCTAAAACAACGGTTGTTTGTGCAGTCCCTAAAGCGTTGTTGTTGGCCACGTTAGCGGCTAAATCCACGCCACCACTCAATTGACTTTCCGGCCGACGTAGCGGTGTTGTCTCACTCGCTGACGATTCGTTACTCATCGCTCTTTCCCACTTGGGTTATTAAATAACTTGCTGCGAAAAAGCTTGCTCTAAGCTTTGCGTCTTTCACTCACTGCTCCTCCACTATTGTGGCAGTGAACTTGAGCTTGAGAGAGCGCTTTTGAGACCAAATACAAAGGCAACCAGGCAATGGCAGCTGCAGCGGCTCTTTTGTTTTTGTTTTTTAGATTTTTTGTTGTTGTTGGCCGGTCATAAAGAAATCACGTTTGGCTTTATTATCGAGTAAAAATTTGGGCTTTCAAGTCTGTGGTTGCGACGTCATTGTTTGTGGCTGGGAAAATGTAAAATATAAAGAAAGAATAGCGTCCAAATTAAATGCTGGTTTACGCACGAGATGAGTAACGAAACAGAGTCCCTGATGATAAACAGATACATAGCTATGTATGACGACAACTTCTATCTCTTATGATTCACATCGAGGGAATAATATGTTGTGCCCAAGTTGGAATTGTCTTAGCATTAGCGTACATACTACCTATAACTAACATATAATGGTTTAATGACTGAGCAATTTCTTCAATTTTTTTTTATTTTTCAAGACTTTCCAAGGCAACAAGACATTTCATGAGAGCATCTGTGAGCATTTGGATGATGGATCATAGTTCTGGCTGGGCAGTCAATATTGGTCTTTTTTGATTCTCATGCATTCAAAAAAAATGCGCGAACAACTTTTTTCGACACCTGAAGAAAGTGTTAAAGCTTTTGAGAATCTTGTTTAAAAACTAACGCATTCTGACTGGCATAGTTATTGGTAAATTGATTGAAACGGAGGCACGAACAAAAGATTATTCAATAAAAACCCCCACTTGTTGATAAATCACTAACCAGTTAGTTGCTGAGTAAATTATTTCAGTGTAAGCTTAACAACTGTTCGATTCACTATCAAGGCACACAAGGCTTCCACTGGATGCACTTTGCTGAGAACTTGACGAATTTCTATAATTTAAGGCCATCTTCTTAACTTGTTTGCCCATCAAGGGGGCGTTGTAATAAGCAGGAATGCAAGCTATGCTGTTGGTATCCGTTCTTGCTGATTATGGGCCGTGGAGCGAGAAACCAAAGCCTTAATTTGACATGCCAGCTGACGAAGTGGCAAACGTCAATCAGAAATCAGCAACGCTCCCAATGTTGTTGATCGTGTCGCGCTGTCAGGCAGCATCACCGGAATAGGTGGATAGATGTTGTCAGTTGGCGATTGGACTCGCAACGATCGCCCGATCAGACAAGACCTATTTTTAGATGCTGTACGATAGCCCCTGGTCGATCGAGCCATTACTATGCATGCCTTGGCTAGCATTTTGTCTTTTGTTGCTGCCAACCAGTTTTGCCGATTCAATTCCCATGATTAATGCCCCCGTCGAGTGTGTAGGACAAAACCACAACAGCATTGCATCTTAATTTAAAAAACGAGTGAAGAAACAATCTCTGCGATATAATCTGACCTGACTGGGCTGGGAAGGGGAATGGAGGACGGTGGAGATGGGCACGTACTGAGGCTTGTTTGCTTAAGTGTTTTAATTGTTTTTGTTTCGGGCGGGCGGCATCTTTAAAACATCGGTTAAAAATTCATTAAGCATGCTAAATGCCTTGTAAGACACACAAAGGGTTTTAAGTTAAGGAAAGATGCATCCACAGGGCTGACAAACACCGACACACCTCCCTTATCGCGCTTATTTTATTTTATTTTTTCTAATCAACAGAACGGAAATTATTATGCTATCTTATCGGAGGCATTGCTTTATAAATGTAGAAGAAGTTCTAAAGCAAAAATGATGATTTTGTTTTGATTTTTACAACACTTCATTAAGATAAAACAGAATGACATGGAATGTCAGGAAATTTGGCGAGGATCGTATCTAATCTAAAGCCTGCACTCAAAGATAGAAACAGAAGTTGCAGTTGCAAATAAAAAAGGTTGTTGCTGAAATTCTTCACAGCACTATAAAATCGCATCTTTCCATATGGGAATCAGAAATTTTAATCAGATAATCGATTAACTTATGGCAGCCAGCGATCGACCACAAGCAGAGATTCCACTGGGACTGCCGGTTCCCAACAGCAGGCACATGTCATTTATGCATTTTTATGATCATGTCAATGTTGGCCATGGAGAGGAATAAGGTCAAGAAGCTGCGTGTAAGCAAATACTGAATTATTGAAATTAAGAAAAGCCAAATTGTGCATAAAAATCATAAATAAATTAAATGAAAATGAAAACAATTTACATAAACAGCAGGAATTTACGAGAGTATTTAGTTGGCGGTTGCGGCGCCAGCTTTTCATACTTAAGTACGTACATACGATATACTTGTATTAAGTATATAAATATCTTGCCATGAATGAAGCTCACGTCAGCAGCTGGCACAGGTTCAGTCCACAATGCATGCTCATGGCTTGGACGGGGGCATTCAATTTCATGGCCACAATACTGAAATGGCATTCAGTGGCAGTTCCAGACTTGGCGGCGACGGAAGGAAAATTGACACCAAATCGGCCATCTGTATGTACTACAAGGCTTGTTAATTGGCTGCATTATGGCCTGAAATCAGCAATTCAAATGCATTTTACAAACTCGCTGTCACATTGAAATCGAAGAAGCGGAATTTTAAGACGGGAAAAATGTAAAGTGTTCGATTGAGATATGGAAAGTGTTGGAGTTGGTTGCACAGTTGAACGACAAATATTTCATATCGTATAATAATGGGGGAAAATAAACTCGTACTGCCTAGGGATAAGAAGAATCTACATAACAAAAATTTGGTCACTGTAGACTCAGCCAGTTTAAAAATCCACGCTTTCCTTTGTCTTTGCAAAAAACATAACACAAACGGGGAAGGGATAGATAGGATAAAAAAGCTTGAATTTAACAAATATACTATCTATTTATAAAGCAATGCAGCGAGCTAATTACATCAGCGAGATGTAGAATGTTAAACTATGAGAATTATATTTCGAATTCTAAGTAAGAAAACAAAACAAAAAAAGAATTTGAAATACAATAGTAGATGATCTAAATGGAGAGCAATAATTAAGACAAATACTCATTCCCAAACGGAAAAAATCAATAATTCCACTCAATTCGATGTGCGGGCATGCACTTGCGTTTTGGCCAATTGCCAAATGGCTGGAAAGTGCATTAAAAATGGTCGAAATAAATTATGCAAATTCTATGAGCAGGAACGTGTTGGATATTGTAGATCGCCTAATAGCAGCAGTCATCATGAAAATAAATTATACATTTAGTGCGTCAGAAGCCGCGAATAAATCAGTAACTGTTCAATCAGCTCAATCATTTTTTTATATAATTTAATATTGATAAGACAGTCAGAGGCACTGCACAACTGATAAGGAGAAGGAAATCGCTTGCACGTAAAACAAAGGTGCGAAAGGTTTTGTAGGAATTACGCATTGGATTTAATTGATGTGCTACTTAACGGATTTGTGGTTCGGCCAGTGTGTCTGAGTTGGCAAAATAGCAACGACCTTGACCATAGCTTCAAACAATGACGCTTGGCCGAGTCAACGCAGCAACAAAAATCGATTTTTATGCCTTAAACGCCCACGCTTTTCCGCCAGCAGGTTTCTGCTTTTACTGCATAATAATTTATTTTTACACTTTTCGCACGCTCATGATTGTGTTGGCTACTTGTGGCCAATACCAATATACATATATGTATGTACGTATGTACATCCATGTGTAAACAGACAAAATTCTTATTGTATTTGTTTATGTTGAAATAAATTTGTTGGCTTTCACAGTGGTGGCCGCTCACTTTCCTGCCTATTTGTTTTGTTGGCCAAATATTTCATTAAAATTCAAAAGCGGGCGCTCAGCTTAATCAATAAGAAGCAAGATATATAACAAACAACAAAACGACGAATCCGATAACAAACCAAAAAAATGCTTGCAAATATTTACCTCTCGTGCAATTAATTAAAATATTTCCACAACAAGGCGTTGCCTTTTAAGTCTTTGAATTGTATCTTGGCACTTTATATTTTTATTGTTTCAAATACGCCACTCTCAACCATTGCGAAAAACGTTGTTCTATTCTATTTTTGCATAAATAAATAAACACTTCCATAAATTCGTAAGTTTGGACGGGCAGAGCGAACCCCGTTGGCAGCGACCGCACGCGAACGCTGAGTAAAATGAACTGAGCGCTACATCCAAATGTGAAGAGTCACCGGCTGGGAGCTGTGAGAGCTGTCGACAACAGAGTGCGCGTTCATTTGAAACGTTCTGAAATTGGAACCAGGTGTGTGCTATGCTATGCAATGCAATGCGTTTAATAAATTGATAACATAATCCTGCTGCAATGCACAATACTGTTCCATGCCGTTCGTTTATACGAGATCGAGAGAGCGAATGTAGAAATGTTGCCCTCTCTTCTTCTCTCTCTCTCTCTCTCTCTTTCACTATTGAAGTGCAATTGTGGCCATGAACAATTTTTGGACAAAATGTTGTCAGTTCTTCATTTCGTGTTGAGCGCTTCGGTTGCTCTCTATGTAACGGTTCCGCATCTGACATCTGACTTTACAGCAGACGTTTACATTATCGTGTTGCGCATGCGAATCAAAGGACGTAAAAGAAACATCAAATAAATATTGTGTGTGATAAAAAGCAAAGCTAAGTGCACTATAAAAAAGCAAAATTACAAATTGTGGAAGCAATGCAAGTGCATTTATCATAAAATTTACAAAATTTTGTGCGTGGCCAGCAATTTTTGGCTAGAATTTGACTTCGCTAAGCAATCGCACAATCCTCCTCTTTGTGTGGGCCGACTTTGTGCATTCTGCATTATTGATTGTTTTTATTGTTGTTGTATTGCCACACACACACACACACACACACATACAGAACGCGCTTATCACCTGGCAACTTCAAAAAGTACATGCATACGCGTTTTCGGCTTGTAAATTATTTACGATACAATCAGCTTAAGATAAATACGCAGCAAATAGAGAGTCCATTAGCACTTTTACCCAAAAAAATAAAAAAAAAAAACTTCGTTATTTGTTGCTGAAGTACTTACAAATATTTGAGTCTTTGTTGTGCATTACCTGTTGATAAAAATGCCCGCCAACGCCTGCAGCTGTAAATAGGCAGTCAAGGGTCATAAAGGAACTGTGTCGCCTCCCGCCACTGCCACTGCCACTACCATTAGGTGGCTTATCAGCTTGGACCTTGGGTCAATATTCGAATATGAGCAGTCTACGACCGAACAGCACATGCGACACTACTCCTCTCCAGCGGTTCGAGAGTCAAAGCAGTAATGGTGAGGAGCCATCCTCACCAACCAGCATTATAGCTGCCGCCGTGGTTGCAGCTGCAACAAGTACAATAACAACAACTAGAGCAAATGCTACAAATGCAAATGCAACGGGAGCCAATCACATGCACCACAATAACAACAATAACAATGTTAAGGTTGATTTACAACTGCCACCGTTTGAAAACAATGGCGGACTCAGAATTGGAGCAGTGGTCATGGCGAATAAGCCACGAGTTCGGGGCACTGCTCACATCTTTAGACGCATTCTCTTGGATCTGGCCATGCTGAGCTGTGGTAAGCAGTCATTTTTAGATTCCTTATAACAGTCCACTTATCTGGAGCTCCATTAGCTGCGACACTTTGGGCCCAATCAATTATATTTCCCAGACAACTCTCTCACATCCCTCGCAGCTCATTTGGTGGCTGTTGTTGTCGTCTCAACTCGTGCCATCTTTCACACTTCTCGCCACATTTCTTTTGTTTTATGTTATGTTATCATGTTGTTCCAATTGATCTCTGGCACATCAACTTGTGAACTGGCGCGTCGTTGACTATTTTAATGGATGTATCACGCAGCATTTAATGTATTCTGACTTCTTTTCATTTCATCTACATACATACACATTTGTGTATGTATGTACACATATAGTATATTAAAAGAGCCATCACATATCAGTTTGATTATCTGGACCGATTAAGAGAACTGCGATATTATGAGCAGCACGTTCTAGTCTACGAGTATACTTGTATGTGTGCTTGGTATCTGAGAGTAGGAAACGCTTTGTTGTATCATCAGCATTCAGCAAAAATCTGAGCATTTAAGTGAACTGATTCCTGTTTTTATTGAATTAATGAAAACATGTGGAATTTGTATCAAAATGTTTCCAACAGCGCTTATGCTTAAATAATGAATAAGCACTTCTATAGTTGTAGACCCCATCGCCCACCAACCCATCAGCATGACGAACCAAATGACCGACCCCTCAATCAACACCTCACTATTCGCACATCGAGTGTTCTCTGATTTATTTTACTTAATTTGCGCATACATACTTGTATATACATATATATACATGTATTAGACCCTGTTTGGTGCGTTGGGGTGAATTTATCACGAGGGCACACAATTGAAATTTTTGTGTTTTTATGCCAACATCAACTTGCTCCGTTTGTTTATTTACACGAATTCAATTTACACATGATCAGCACTGCGCAGACGCAGACTAGTATGCCAGATATGCTGTTAACCCTACTTTAGATTTGGGGCAATATATGTACCTGATATTCCTTCTAAAAGCCAAATATTTATTCAAATGATTAAAGAAATTGGACGCATTTTAAATACAATGAAGTACTTTCATAAATATACTTTTATTTGTCCTCTGTTGATTAAAGAAAGTCACACAAAAATAATTTCACAAGAATTTGAGTTTTTTTTAAAGTGAATCTTTCCCATTATTTCCATTCATCTCATACGCAAAGCCAACAAAGTAAATTAAGAAGGTATGCTGTTAATTCCAGTTAAAGGGATTAGAAATATACTTGTATAAATAGGATCGTAAAGTTACGGATGTGGGAAAATCCGATGAAAGTATACAAAAACATATTTAGTTGGAGGTTACTTAAATGATTTGGAAACGAAATTGTCGCTTTTCCAGCTTGCAGTTCGAAAAAAATGCTTGAGTTCTACGGTTTCGGAAAATTTGATTTTATTCTTCGCCAACCACACTACCAATTATCAATGTCGCTTGCTTCTTTTTATATAAGTACTACTTATATGTTGTAACAAAAGTGACGAGGTCTATTTATATGCTTCCCCCTTACAAATTGCCCCAGTCCGCCCCTATTTAGTGTTCTGTTTCTGAATCTAGAAGTAAAACATGAAATGCATACTTCGAAAATAAAGGGTTAAGTGTCGTCAGCAGTTTTGAATGCGCATAAAAAGTGGACACTGCAACAAAGCTGCAAATGCAACTGCAAGCCTTTGCCACTTTTCCAGCGATATCTTCGATTTTGTGGGAGCGTTTCAAAGCTCCAGCACTTGTGACCACCCATGGCTGCAATGTGTGCGCATTATCTTTTAAAACTGCCCGCTAACCACAGGGGGTATTACAAAATTTCATTTGCAATTGCAAGTGACACACTTGCGTGCTGTTCTTGCACTTGCTGTTGACATGTTAAGCCAACAAACCCAAACACACATACACACTATTTGGTATTAGCAACGGTTAGAGACTCACACACACGCCCATGTTTATCTTTTGCAGTTGGTCTGCCCATGCTCGGATTCTCGCTGTGGGGTGAGCCCTATAAGCGAGGCTTCTTCTGCAGCGACGTGTCGCTGAAGCATCCCTACAAGGACTCTACCATACGCAGCTGGATGCTGTACTTAGTGTGTGCTGGACTGCCCATTTCCACGGTAAGCAAATTACAAATATTTAGACACATTTCCAGCAGTACGTGTCTTTCCCCTCAATTCCCACACTGAACACCTTCATAAAATTGTCTGCAGATCGTGCTGGTGGAGTTCTATAGAGCGCAGGATCGGAAACCGCCGCGCTATGCGCACTACCAGCAGGGCAGTCAAGGAAGCGGCTATTACCTGTGCCATCTCGAGTTGCCTATCTGGCTGATCGAATGCTACCGAAAGGTTGGCATCTTCGTCTTCGGCCTGGGCGTGGAGCAATTGACAACGGAAATAGCCAAGTACGTTATTGGGCGGCTGCGACCACACTTCTTTGCTGTGAGTATTTCCCGAATACTATGTGCCCGATGATCGAAGACTTATGTAGAGTTCTTGGACAGCTTTGCCAGCCCATGCTCCATGACAACAGCAATTGCAGCGATCCGATCAATGCGCAACGCTATATCGAGGACTTTAGCTGTACAGGGCCCGATGCGAGCGCCAAACTGGTCAAAGAGGTGCGACTATCGTTCCCCAGTGGCCACTCGAGCTTCACTTGCTACGCCATGCTCTATTTGGTGGTATGTTGACTAAAAATAGGCATCTCTGCCACAGCCTCCCATCGTTTGTGTTCGTGCAATTACAGATCTATCTGCAGCGTCGCATGCATTGGAAACGCATCAAAATGCTGCGCCACATGCTGCAGACTCTACTCCTGATGTTCGCCTGGTACACGGCTCTGACGCGTGTCTCCGACTACAAGCACCACTGGTCCGATGTGCTCGCGGGCGCTGGTATTGGCATGGCCTACGCCATTGTGGTGGTAATTAATATTTTTAATATAATTTTGCACACGCATGCACACAAGGGATAGCATATTGACGCTGTCGGTTCGTCTGTCTGAATGCTTGCAACTAGAAAACTACTAGAGGTGTAGGCTCTATAACAGTCTATGAAAGAAAGCTTGCGATTCAAAGAAACCCTGTAACTTGATAACAATATAACTCTTTTCATTTGTCCATCAGGCTAGATAACTAAATATATAAACAAAGTCCAGTAAACTCAGAAGTTTCCTCAAAATCGAATGCTTCTGATTCAGTCGCACTTTCTTTAGTTCCCATTAGATCTTAGCACCAGTTCTTTCCCTCCTTTACTCAACAAGTTCTTGTTTTTCCTCATCATTATCATACATTGAAATTTGTGGAGCTCTTTTGATTTGCTCTCTAAGTTTTCATTTGTGAGCATTGCCGACAGCTTAAATAATAATAAAATTCCACGAAAAGCATTGATTACATAATCTAAAATAAACCTTCCTTTTTTCTCTTCCAGACTTGTACTTTGTGGTAACACATTTTGGTTTAATATTGCAACGTTCTAGAAATAAGCTTAGTTACTATATTGGTTTTAAATATGTAGTGTGGTTGAGTTTTAAGCTTGGTTTAGCTTGTCATCTTTTTAAATTACAATACAAGTATATGTGTATGTGTGCTTTCATCATTTTACATTTTACGTAATAAAAGTATTTAACGTTTACAACAAATCAGCAATATTGTTTGTTTTCACTCTCACGCTTAACTTATGGACAATTACTCAATCATTAAAATGAAATTGTCGGCTTGTAGTTGTTTTATCGAACGTTGCTTAAATCAAAACGTGACAACAAAAGTTGTAGTCGCGGGCAATTTAAATAAAATTACACATTGCCAAATGTCCTTGCCCCGGCCACACCACAACGGTGTGCGCTGTTTTGATGGCTATTTCAAATTAATAAACAACAACGACAACAACTTCCACAAATGAATAGCAACCAACTGGTCGATCGGCGGCCGGCTGCTGCCTGCCGCCTGCTTGCTAACCATAACCGTAAAATGTAGAAATGTCGTACGGCAGCTGATCAAAGTGGCAAGTGCCACAAATGCAATTGCCGTTAGTAGTCTTGGCTGGTTGGCCAGAGACTTTGGCAGTTGTTAGCGCCAGATAAGCGCTGACTTATGGCCAGTCAGGCCAACTATGCTGCTTTGTACGCGCATATAGTAACTGACCATTCTACGGGCCATACGGGCCTTTGCCTAATTAGTAATTGGTGCAAAATTAGAGACTTGCTTTTTTAATTGGCCCCTGCCAAAGGCATGGCCCCTCATGCTCCTTTCAACAACTGTCCGTTCTCTACTTGTCGAACTCATTCGCTGATTTGCATTTGATTAGCATATTGAACGAATTTATTGCTTCGGCCACTCAAAGCGCCTTCAACTTGGAAGCATCACTCACTCAGCCATCACTTGAAGCAGTAGTTGTTGTTGTTGCGACGTTGAAGTGTTGTAATTGCTGTTGTTGTACAATTTTATAGTTATAATTTATATGTTAACTCAACTATCAGCACTTAGCCGAGCAAGATGGATGCCACTTTCGAATGATATGCAAATGGAGTTGTACGTATTTAGTACAGATATATCAAATATTATAGTGTGCTAGTATAATAGAGATATAGACGGCAAGTCGGGACACAGGCTTCATGATCTTCCTCAGCAGTTGGCACAATTTCTATGTCTCGTGCTATCCAACCAATAGTGTCTTTGACAACAAACTCACAAACAAAAAACGCACGGAGTTCAATTTTATGAAATTTTTCTTTTGAAGCCCATAATAAATATATTACTGGCTGAACAATTTACTTAAAGAATTATATATCATTGATTTGTATGGCGTTATGCTCAATACTTGTATGTTAAATTCCAGTGCTGTTAACTGCAGCACTGTTAATCCCAAGCACTGTTAAAATGTAATTCTGTTAAAAAGGAAAACCCAAATTGCACTTCCAAATACGAAGCAAGCCAGCTGAAAACATTCTAGTCGATATTTAATTTAATAATTTAATTTTTCGCGTTGAAATTTCTAGCTTTGCAAAATTGCAAAGAGCTAAGAGACTTCTCCATCCAGACATCCTCTTTCTTATAATCAGTGACTGTTGTTCAGGTTCTGAACATTAATTTGTAGCCTTAGTTCCTTCAGATAGTGGGACTTACAGCTTCAATTTCTGTTCGCTCGATGCAATTGCCTCAAAATAAACACACATAATGACATGGCTGTGTTTTACTATATAATATTGTTGTGTATAACAAAGTCAACTCCAAGTGCTATTGGCCACAAATGCACAAAACTAATAAATTATGATATTGAAATGTGTTTCAAATACCCCAGAATACAACCACACTTTTTCCAATCAACAATGCATATCCCACCAGGATGCACATACCGTCCATGTAAAGGGAAAAGGGATGTCATATTTTTCCCACTCAGCACTGTCTATGAATGATTAGTGTGTATGTTCATTCTTCATTCTTCTCCGCACGAGACTTGGTTTGCTCCAAATTCTTCACATTTCATAAGCACATATACTCGATTAGAATGTTTTTTGTTGCTTTGTTTATATTGTTTTATCGCTATAATTGCATCAAGTCCATTTGTGTGATGTTTCTTTGGCAGCTTTCAATTGCCCGCATCTGCTGTCAATTGCTAGAATCAGAATCGGCTGCATTCTCAATCTCTCAACAACATCAAGTTTATGATCAAGAAACTATGCCAAAGTTGCAACAATGCAGCACTCGTACAGTGTGAGTATCGAGAGTGATTTTTATTTATTTTATTCTGTTTTTTTTTTTTCATATAAAACAGCCGTGCATGTAAGTATCTGCGGGGACAAAAGGCCAGTGTTACATCGCAATATAAAATTGCGTCACAGCTCAGGCGGAAAATGAAATTTAAGCATGAAAATTGTAAATTACAGAGCTAACTGAGGAACACGCCCCTTTTTATGGCACGCAAAGTGTGTAAAATTGTAGGCATTGCCATTACAGGGGGTTTGTGAATCATGCAACAGCATTTGGCATGTCCAGCTCTGAGGGATGGGGTCGGTTGCATCAGCCACCAACACCAACACCATCAGCTTCGATTGAAGCGCATTTTTCTATATGCCAGCCATGGTCACAATTCATGGTCCAAGAGAAAAAGGCGTTACATTTTCCACACGAGCGTGAGGGACAGACAGGTAAGCATTTTCGCTTGCGTGGGCTTTCAATCAGAAATGGAAATGCTACACTCAACAAAAATATGTGGCTCAGAAAATCGCGCAAATTTGGAAATTCATAGCATAGCTATTACCAAGCAGCTTCTATCTGCAGTCTTAGTTTCAAGCTTTCACAAAAAGACGACAAGGCATTATAAGTCTTTGGTAAATAGTTTTCTAAACGGTTCGAGTTTTGACCAGCAACGAGAATCTTTAAAGCCTCTATCTATGAAAACACTAAATCTATAAAAATAAAAAAAAATGCTTTTGCCTTTCGTTTAATAAGTTTACATAACAAATGGCTTGTATATAAATATTTTCTGTGGAATGATTCGTGCACTTTTTTGTCAAGTGTAGCGTGCTCTGTTCGGTTGTCTAGTTCCTGTGGCCTTTGTTTTTCTTTCTGCCAATAGCACGAACGTGCTTGTGACCATTGTACCGGTTTCTTTGTCGGTCTGTCCAGTGCCCAATAGGTGGGCAGCACATTCGCATGTCCTGCGCCTGTGGCTCTGGCTCTGGCTGCGGCTGCGGCTGTCGCTGTCGCTCTATTTATGCGCGCCTACGTGCGCAATTATTTATACTCTCTGTCGGGCCTTTGTATGCGAATAGAGGTACGGGGTTTTGCTGCAAATCCAATGCCCTATGGATAGTGTTTTGTCTACTCCTTTTATGGCCTGGCAATTAGTGAGCCTGGCAATTTGCGTTGGCACTAAACGCTTATTAATGAGCTCGAGTCAATTCTATGATACGCTGTTTCCACTATCACACAATGCCTGGCCACTGACTGACAATATTTATGGCGCTGGGAAATTGGCTTAAGTGAAATCTATAAATCTTGGCAGCGCTTTCAAAGATAATACGCCTGCCATGAAATATGCAAGCCCTTGAGCTGCTACAACAACTTGTTCTCTGACACTCGCATACGTGTGTACTCGTGTAAACATCCAGGAAGGTTTGTACTGGTGGTAGTAGAAGGCAACGAATAATACATAAATCTCGACACTTTGGGGCGTTTCTATAGGTACTTTGGAAAGATCGAGAATAGTGCGAGAATTTATGCGCACATTAGAAAATGCAAGCAACGCCTCATTAACCCCCCATGACAGTTTCAGTTTTTGCAGCTGAAAACATTGGGCAGGTACTGGAAGTTTTTCCATTCGATTGCATTTTGCGTCGGGAAATGTTGTCACGATTGTAACTGTCATATAAATTGCGAAGCAACCCCTTGGTGCTGAACATTATACCCCATGCGGTGTGTTTGGGATTACGCAGCTAATGCCATTTAATGCCTCATAGTGTTGCCGCCTATTCACACCTCTTCAGCTTCACTTCATTTCGTCGGCCGCCTGTGATTTCTGCTCTGCGCGAGTGATTCATGTGCCCTCTTAAGCTAAGGCACTTGGCCGGGCCGCGAAGTTGTTAACGTTCGCAATTGGTGGCATTTATCGTGGCGGCTTAAAGTCTTTCAAAGCCGCGCTCAGACAAAACGCCACAGTTTTCGTTTTTGACAGCCAACACGCAGAGAACTTGGCACTGGCCATTAACAAAGCTTAAACCAAATCTGAGCTTGTTAGCACGTTGGGCTTAGTTGGCAGCAGCAAGTCGTTTTCTCCCTCACCCTCCACCGATCAGCTAGATATACAAGTAGTTGCATTGCATTTGAATTTATTTTGGACTTTCTACTGCTGCAGAGACACTGCCGAGAGACACACCCTCTCGCACCATTAATCTTGACAGTTGCATGGCAGTGTTTACATTTTCCTCCAATCTAGTTGCAAATGTAATTCATTTTGTGTTTGAGGCAGCAATGTGGATTGGTATCAACACAACTGCTGTTATGACTTTGTAATTGAGCTGCAGTGGTGAAAGGAGTGGCGTGCTCTTCACAGTAGCGATGGAATGTTGCACTAATTTAAAAGGTTTGTTTTAAGTAAACACTCGGACGAAATTTAACCAATCTCTAATTAGAATTCCCTGTATTCAAAGTGCAGAATTAGGGTCCGAATTAGGCGGATATGATCAGCAATACGAGCAATACGAAAGCCTTTAAAGCATAACAGCTACTTATAATAATAATTGGGGTATAGAATTGTCTTATCAATATGCACTCCACGCTTATTACAAACTCGATATATCGTCAATCTTATAAATAGCTGCAATCGACATGATCCAGATCACTCTTCCTTCCAAAATTTGTTTCTTTATGAAAATGGCTTTTACAAAGTTTGTTTAATTATTGGTACAGCAAAGCTAATTTAGTTACTACAAGTATAAAGCCCCGTGACAAATTTGACGAAGGATGTTACACAAGCCAGGCAATCTCTACTCGTTTCGCAAGAACACCCCACTGGTACTACTATTTGATATACTTGTACTTATTTAGCTTTTCCACTCACTTGCTAGAACCGTTTGAAGCATTTTGTTGTAAGCTGAAGATTTGTTGTAGGCTCTAGCATCATCTTCTTCCCAATGGCCGTAATCACAGAAATTCTTTAAGCTAATCCACTTGAAATTGCTAATCAAAGCCGACAACCATTCATTAGCTTTAATGAGTAGTTGCCACTGGCTAGGCAGATGTAAATTGCTGAACATTACTTTGGAGATTTACAAGGCAGCGACTAATGAATAAAACAAACTTAATCTGCAATTTGTTTACTGAAATTGCAAGCAATCTGTGCGTTGCTGTTTAATTGAATAAACGCACCAGCTAAAATGTTTGCAATTTTAGAGTGCAATGAGGGAATGAGTGCATGAGAGAATGACTACATGATGCCGCACATCAACTCTAATTAGCAGCAACAAGCTGAGGCTGCCAGCTGACGCAAACTGTTGGGCAACGGAAGCTTTCAATTACCAAGACATGGTCTCTGCAAATTTGATGCATGAACTGGCCAAATCGCCTACGGTCCTCAAGGCATCCAGTGCTCCAGTCCTCCAGTCCTCCATTGCTGCAGTAGTCCAGCTTCAGTTCATGTCCATGCAAATCGGCCAACACCAACTGGCTGGTGTCAAAAAAATTGTCATGAATAATGCAACAAAAAACACAAACGCTTGACTGCCATCCAGAAAGCACCTCCGATCTGATCGTGCAATTTGTCGAGCATGGCATCAGGCACGTTCCGAACCGCAAAATAAAATCAATGGAATCATATTTAAGCGTTTTGCATATGACCAACAAGAGACGTGATATCGCGACAGACCAACAGCAACTGTGGCTGAAACGCCCCAGGCCGCCGCCAGACACCCAGTCCAACGGCCAATGATTAGTCAGCCCGTTAGACAGCAGGACATGAAGTTGTCAATGGCTGTTGTCGCTTGTCAATCAACAAAGAGGCGCGATCAGCAATCGAGGCGATGGCCACGCGTGTGCTGCGCATGCGCATTAACATAAATTTAAGGCGTTGAGTGCGTGATTTAGTTTTTTCCTTATAGTTGGTGCGTGACTTTTTTTGAAAAAGCATTGAAAGATAATTTTATTGATTGAACGATGGCCAATACACTAGCGCACCTCCTTGCCATATGGTTGTTTCTTCTTCTGGGATAGAACACAACCCGTGCCTTGGTATGCCTTTTCCAGCTGCAAAGTCTTTAAACGCTCGGTCGCACGTTCTTCTGCCGTATGTTGGAGGTAACTCTGATGCCAGTCGCGGTTGTGTGCCTAGAAATGAACAAGTAGGTCGGTTTGGAAGTACTATATTTACGATTAATGCTTTATTATAATGATTGCTAGTTTTTTTTGCCCAATAGAATGTATTCCAAATGACAAAGATGACCGTGAAATAGTTTCTTTTAATGTTGATTGTCAAATTTGCTAATCGCAGTCTCTGATTATAAGAATAAACTCACTAATGTATCATGAGTTATTCAATTATTTATTCTGTCACCCTTTTCAGTCTCGCAGGCATTCATTCAGTTGGTCAGTCGGTCAGTCAACCGAAATCTCACTCTGTTATTTATTCTTACAATCAATCAATTATATATTCACCAATTTAGTTTGTTTTTGGCCATTTCATTAGTCAGAAAATCAGACAATTTTCCAGATCTTCAGTCGCTAGTCAATCATATCATATACATATTATTCAGACATTAATTCATTTATCCAAATTGTCTGTCAGTTATAAATTATTTCCATATAAACAGTGGCCTTTCATTCGGTTTGTCTGAAAATCACAAACAAAAATTCTATCGAATCACAAATCTTCGACAGGTTTCTCATTAAGCATTATTGCTTCCGAATAAAAAATGATGCATACAACCAAGTCTTTGTTTAAATAAATAAAAATGTACTTTTCTCTTGAAAATTGATTTTATCTATGTTTATTGAACCACTTACCCTGGCATATATTTTTTGCTGCAAGTCCTCATAAATTTGCATGTCCTCGCGCATATTGTAGCCCAGGTTCTCAGACTTGCTCCTTTCAGCTTCTTTCTGGGCTAATTGTTGGTTCTGTTCGATTTGCTTCTGCAAGTCGGAAAACTGTTGCAAGCGTTTGTTGCGAGCTTTAATAAGCGCTTCCTCCTTGCGTTTGGCTTCAACCTCGGCAGCTAATTCCATTCTAAGATGTGAAAAAAAAAAACTTTGAAGCTATATTATTAACCACCCACGTCCACTTACGCCTGTGCATATTCGTGCTGTTCGGTCAACGTTTCTTCAGCCCGCTGCGCTCGCTGCTCCTCTTCTCGCCTTTCATTCTCCCACTGGGTATTGCCTTCGAGTATGTGACGGAGATTCTGCTCGTATTGTGCCTGCTGTTCGCGAGTGGCATCTAGTCGTTGCCACACTTCGTGCCACAGCTGCTGCACCTGCGCCTCCTTGCGGCGCAAAGCTTTGCGTTCCTCGATTTGCTGCAGCTGGGCGTATTTGGTTTCCAGCAGAATCTCTTTGGTTTCCCTGTGGCGATGCGCCTCTGAATTTTCGCTGCACATAAAAATCTTTAATAATATCGAATGTTATCATTGTTTTTTCTGTGCCTACATCTCCCGCTGCTGCTGCTTCAGCTTCAGCAACTCCACTTCTGCCTGCTCGCGCTTCATGCGCTCCAAGAGGATCCACTCATGACGCTGCTTCTCGGCTTCTTCAGCTTTCGCCTGCAACCACAATGCCAGCTCCTCGTCCCACTGCAGAGCTTCCATCTGCAGCTGTTGGGATAACATCATGCGCCGCCTGTCCAAATCCTCAGTATACTCGCGCATACGCTTCTCTACCATGCCACCAATTTGGCACTTGAGGTTACGATTATTGGTGCGCTCCAGAAATTCCGTTGGATCCATCTTAACCAGCGCTTTCTGAACAATCATTATTGTTTAAGCTTTGTAGCCATGGCTGGTTACTGCCTTGGCAACGACTCTTAATATGAATTTAGAGTGGAATGGCGTTGCCAGCTCGAGTCAAAGCTAACTGGGTTGCTGTCTTGGCTATTGACTGTCGGTTCGTGTCCATAGAACAGTCCGGTACGCGATCCAGGGGACAAAATCCACATGTGGTTCGATTCACAAATATTTGTCAAATAATTTGGAATATTTGTATTATATTTTTATATGAACCCCAACCACAATATAATATAATAATAAATTCTATAATATTTTGCGATTGATGATGTTTTCAAAACCTTTTCTAAGTAACTTTATATTCCCAATTTATCTATGAACTATGGTTTTATTGGCCCCTTTTCTGTACAATTCTCTCCCTACATGAATTCACTAAGAATTGGAATTAATTTTTTATATCAGCCCTTGGTCATTCATAGTTTTATTTACGGATTTACGATTTCGTAGCTACTTTGGGTCGCTAAAAAAAAGTGAAAACCGAATACACAACCGAGCAGAACACGAGAATGCAACCCCAAAATGTTGCTGGATATTTCAAAATTCTGATTGCGCCGAATTGAAAAACTTGAAAATTTACTCGCAATAATTTCTAACCTTAGCGAAGCTCCTGCGGAATTTAAATCAAGAAGCCTAACTAGAATCTGTAATCAAATACCTTTCATCCATTTTAAAGACATTCCTTATGGAATAATCAAATATTTTTTAAATAATTATGTTGAATTTATACAAATTATGAAACTATAATAACTAAAAATATTAAAATTTATGTTAGGCATTTAATACTTTCATTCATGCATTCCATTAACATTCTACATATGGTATGCTTTCAAATTCTCAATCAGTAAATTAGCACTTTCATGCCAAATTTATTTAATCATTTGCTATGCAAATACTTGTTATTGACCACTCGTATTGATTTTAAGTTGCCACTGCGACTGAGTATAAATGAAAAACATTTCCTGAATAATATTGATTCGCCATTATAAACCAACGTTAAATTTACGCCTTGGCATTCGAATTTCGGGGCGGAAAAATTTATTTAATATCACACAATGGCAGGTGTGAGGAGATCACTACATGTGATTGTTACTATTAAATAATAGCTTCTGGATTATGCCACTTGGTAGTCGTGTCTTTTGTTTTTCACGAAACCCCGATATTTGTTTTCTTACGATTGCGATTGGTTACACTTTCCACACGGCTTACTTAAGTCGTGAAGAGGTTCGTGTCTTTAGTCTTTTGTTTAAACAAATACTGACAAACAAATTTACGACGATAATACATATATTTGTTTATTAGGTAACTTATGTGTAAGCAGGTTATTCAACTTCCAATAAATTTTGTTTTAAATATTAGGCCTAGCTGTTCAGTTTTTAGGTACTTTGGGTTAATATCAGTCTCTATTCTCGCCTAAGGCACCACAAGTCATTCCAATCGATCAGTTGCGCTTACTAGCCGAAAAGATTGGGCACAAACAGCTTCTTGCGCTTGGCATGCGTCTGTCTGTAGCCCACAAGAGGTTCAAAGCGCACATATCCGGGGGAGCTTCCGTAGATCTTCAAATTCCTCCGGCCCGATGCGCTACTGTCGTAGACAGGCGATATATAGCCACCATCCACATAATAGTAGCCTGTGTCCAAGCTTCTTAGATAGCTCTTCGTCAATGGTTTGCCGTAGGTGGGGCCGTAGTCATCAATGCTATCCAGTTCCAAAGTTGCGGGCTTGGCGCTGCTGTGCACAATTTGGCTGGCGATGATGCCGAGTAGTAGACAGGTCCATGTGTAGAGTTGCTGCAAGGGCGAAAAAAAAGCTAACATTATTCTCATGTCGAATGGATAGGTAGATTTAGATTTACTTACCATAATGTACAAATACGAGGTAGTTTTTGTATTATTGAAGTTTGAATGTATCCTTTAAATTGATTTTTTGCTGATAGGTCTGAACGTTTTGAGCATCTGTTTCGTTCTGCATGCTGAGCTCTGTAGAACTCTTTCTTTTTATACGTAACTGGACCCGTCTTCACACCTATACGTGAACATTTTTTTTGGCTCATACTTATTCAGACAACGCGTCGCAGCCCCAGCCAGCTGTGCTGGTAAGACTACCAGACTCTAGACAGAGTAAAAGCTTCCAATACACCTCTTTCGCACCTCCACCATCTGTCAAACGACCGCTCTCGCTAAGTGCAAACGCAGTTTCATTTTCGTTGGTACTATGATGGCATTTGGCTCAAACATTAGGCTCTGATTGGCGCTCGCGCCTCCCCGGAATTAGCTTCAACTGTGTCTAATATCGTCTGGAAAAACTTGTTACAATGCGAAATAACAAATAGATATGACACTTATCCGCATTACTCACGTTTTGCGGTCAATCCGCTTATAACTGCCTCGGTAGCTCAACCAAGTGGCTAATATAGCAAAGATATTTTTAGAATTGTTTGTCCCGACTAATTAACTCGATGACCCACTGATCAAACCGTCAGGACCCGCTTTAATAGAATAAAATGCACCTAAAAAGAAGGAGATTAAAAAATCGCACAAAAGAAACTCAGTAACAGCAATTGTAAAATATGAGCTTTTCCCTCTTGTTGGTTTTTGAATATCGCTCTAAGTAACGGATTGATAGACTCTCTAATTTAAAGAGATTACAAAATCAAAAAAATTTAAAATGCAGTTGCTATTTGGTTAAATTAATTGTTTAATTTGTGCCTTTTTAAAAATTTAAGAACTCGAAAATATATTACCTGCAATTTCGAACATCCGAGCAAAGCAATCGATTTTATACAACATTTCATTAATTTTTATCAAAAAAAAAATATATATATTATATAGATAGTTTATTCATTCATTTATTCATAAAAAAAATATTATATAGATAGTTTATTCATTCATTTATTAATCAAAAAAATATTATATAGATAGTTTATTCATTCATTTATTCATAAAAAAAAATATTATATAGATAGTTTATTCATTCATTTATTCATCAATTTCAACAACAATTAGATGTAGTGAGTAAATTAATTAATTAAACATTACTTTTTGAGTCAACATATTTTGAACTACTTGTATCATTCCCAAGGCGCAGTAATTGATATTTAGATAGAAACTGTGGGATCCAAAATTCATCATGTTGCTCACGTTTGCTCATTTTAATAACATTTTCTTGAAACACCAAAGTCCATTTGAATTTTATAGTTTGAATACAACATGCATGAATCATTATTTTCAAACTTAATGTTTTATAAAAATATGACATAACAGATAAATACTCCAAATAAATGATATTATGTGTTATAAAATGTGCAAACATCAGCCAAGTAGTAAATTTCAAAACACAGCATGTTAAAAAACAGACTTATCTATTAATAACTATAACTATTAATAACTACAAGTGTACAATAAATATTCATAAAACAATACAGCAATCAAATAAAAATAAAAGGTTTAAATTAGTTTTTGGAATAACATCACACTAACATATACAAGTATATACAAATATATACATATTTGATTCAGTCCCAATGCTTATAGCCGTTCCAAATGTAATCTTCTATTGTTTAGCCAAAGAAATTGGGCACAAATAACTTCTTTCGCTTTGTATGAGTATGTCTGTAGCGTACGACTGGCGCGAATCGAAGACTATAACCTTCCGAACTTGTTCGACCCGTGTCATAGACAGGTGCAATATGGCCGTTGTTAATATAATAGTAGCCTGGATCCAGGCTTTTTACGCGCTCCCTTGATAAGGGCTTGCCAAAACTCGTCGCATAATCAAGTTCGCTGTCGCTATCACTAAAGCCATCATAAGTATCCAAATATACAGGGTCTGCATCACACTGAGCCATTTTGCAAGCGATAATGCTTAACAACATAAAAATCCATGTAAGAAGCATCTGAAAATAAATTAAATTAAATTAAATCAAGCACATTTCGGAGTTAGTTAACATTTCAATCATTAATTCCCATTAATATATACCTTTGGTGTCATTCTTAAAATCGTGCGGTATTTTGTTGTCTTAGTTCTCAATGCTCTGAACTTCTAAGGCGTTTTGCTCGCTTAGCGCTGTAGAATCGCTCTTTTATATTCGAATATTCCCGTTCACACTTACTTAAATATAAATTTGTATTGTATTTCGACTGAAACAAGTAGCTTCTCGATTAATTAATGGTGAATCATTCAGGCTCTAATTGCCAAACGCGTCCACGTTTACGCCGTCTAGGCGTTTGATTTGGAAAACTTTTCAGAGCCCGGAAAGATACCCCCATAAATGTTAATAGATTTCATACCGTTTGTTTTTAATGCCAACGTCAGCTGCCTAACTGGATGGGTGGCTTCACGAAGTTTTTACCCCGTAGGGTAAAAAGGGTATATTAGGTTTGTGCAAAGTATGTAACATGCAGAAGGAAGCATCTCTGACCCCATAAAGTATATATATTCTGAATCAGCATGACGAGAGAAATCGATCTAGACATGTCCGTCCGTCTGTCCGTCAGGATGAACGCAAGGATCTCAGAAACTATAAAAGCTAGAATAACCAAAGTTGGCATCCAGATTCTCCTAGGTCCGAGAAAGGACGAGTTTATTTTTTTTTTTAATTTTCCTCCCCTTCCCCCGCTACAGAATTTCGTCAATAGCGTGTACAATCAAATTTCAAATGCTACCTAAATCAAACTTTGCACACATAATTTATATATAAGTTTACCTGGGTACAGGGTATTACACTGTCGAGCTTGCTCGACTGTAGCGTTCTCTCTTGTTGTTTTTAGAACATGTCTAAAAAAAACTCTGGAAATTTTTATTTACAAATTCTGTTAAAACGAGTGTTGATTAAATTTTAATTGATAGTAAATTAAAATCACAATACTGCTCGAAAATATTTATGGATGTAGGTAGGCTTTTGTTTACGTTTGACTTGAACACCTTGCGTATACGTAATATTTGTGTTCCCAGCAAGCTGAAATTGAAAAGTAAGTGACAAATTCTATAAATAACACGTATTCGGCAGAAATGTTTAATGATTCATAATATAATGTAATGAAGTACAATAAATATTGTATTGCGTGTAACATTCTTAAGCCTAAGATATTTGTGCATATGAACTCGCTAATAAATGAATACGAACAACAACAAACGCCATCTGTGCAGTTTGTTGTTCAACAATTCCATCAATTTTAGAGTTTGCATATCAAACAAAAACTAATAATAATCCAAACAAACAGGAAGGTGCGAATAAAATTTTAAACAACAAATATCAATTGCTTTACTATTTAAATGATACACAGAAATGTTTCGATAAGTGCAATTTTTTGTTCTCTTCAGAACCTTCAAAGAATTTAATAACAAAAAATCTAAAAGAATATTCGCCACTGACATTTCTTTCACTATACTCACCATTTCCAATATACAGAATTTAAAAATGAAAAAAGTAAAATATATATACCGATCATTGAACTTTTCGTTCGAATTGGTAAATGAACTGAACAAACTTTTGTTACTTTATATTCACGAAGATCAATAAGAGTACACAGCTTTTTAGCTCGTTCCTGAACGAAAAGGCGTTACATCCTCAGTTAATGCTAAGTTTATGCTACTTCGGACTGGCCAATCTGTTTAATGTATGAACATAATATATTCATGTTAAAATTTTTGAAAGACACCATATTTGCGAATTAAGAACATTTTGTTATAGGATGCTTATTTATCCCCTACTTTGCGTAAATTTTTATAACAATAGATGATGGAAAATTTAAAGTCTGCCACCTACGCATACAATGGTCGATATTTATTTACATTTTCGTTTAAAGCCTGCGAAATAAATTAAATTTGGAGTATTTACATTTATTTATAATATCCACAAAGATGCCAGTTCATGGCTCTCACTTCAAGTCGGAAGCACACTCTTTGCGTATGTGCAATATTTGGACTTTTGTGTACGTTTGCGCACACTTTCGGCATGTCCGAGTCCCAGTAATTTATTTTCAGATACTTTTTTTTATTTACAATATAGTATCGTAAGCAAATATTTTCATGAAGTGCAAAATACTTAGCGGCAATTGGTAAACAGAATGTGTTGCAGCAAATCGCAAAAATAATAATGACCTCTTTTTTTATACGTATGTACTTTGTTGATATTTATTTGCACGCTGAAATGTTTTAATTTTCAAAATAAATCTATTTGCGCTGCGTCCCGTAGCCCAAAGACCGAAAGATTTACAATTAACTGATACAAAGATGAATCTACAAAATAGAAGAATATAATTGAAACAAGCTGTTAAAAATTAAAAAAAAATGTTCAAATCTGTTACAATATTCACAATAATTTTTGCACATTTTCACAAATAGGTACAAAACTGTATATTTTGTAACACGTTTAAATATGCAATATGCATTCAGTATTCTTATTTAGTAAATAAACTTGCAAGACCATTAAATAATCTTGATATATGAATTAAGTGAGATTCCGTTTGTGCTTCCTTCTCTGTATTCCTAAAACTTCTTACAAAAATATAAAAACTTTACAAATACAAAATGGTGAACACATAGGCGACTAAAAACTAAAGACAAGCAACACAATTGGGCCGGAGGTTAGCGGTTTTTTCTTTGTTTTTTAAGAACCTAACTTCCAGTAACGTAAAAATTCAATAGGAAACCAATGAATGATTTTCGCACATACTTGTATATATGTATGTATGTACATATAGTGTGTACATACTGCTCGCCAGTAAAAGATCCAGAAACAAAAATTCTACACCCGTTGAACTCATCGACAAAATTACTGTTTCATTTGTTTGCGCAGTTCTGGAATTAATTAATTATCATGGCACGGCCTGAAAATGCGTCACAACTGTTTAGCGCCTAATTTCCATCGATTTTCAAAACACCGGAGCCTAGTACGCAGTGGCATTACACCCAGTGCAGAACGTCACAGAACGTTAGGGCGTTGATAATGAATATGAACTGTTGAATTCTATCAGTATATTCGATTGAATGGGGACTAGCGTGGGACCAACTTCCACAAATGCTGCAGTGTGGAAGCACAAAAAAAGGAATTGGGAAGCGATGGATGTGCTAATATTTCCTGTTTAGGCACGTGTTAGTCTACAATCAATAAAAATATCACGATTTTACGATTAAAGTGGAAGCCGGCAGACGTAAGGCATTCATTTATTAGTGATTATGGTTCAGTATGAACTCTGTATATTAAAAACTAATTGATAATTACTACAAACAGTGGTTCTTGTTCCAAAAACGACCGTCTACTTTTTATTCAACAACAGATGACCCTTTGGTTTGAGCTTGTTTTCGATAATGCGTTGCCTCTCAGCGTCGGCGGCCGCCTTTAGAGTTTCATGGCGTTTCTTGGCATAGTCGAGTTCGCCGCTTAGCTGCACGATTTTAGTTGCAATCTCCTGCTGCTTCAACAGGCGCTTCTTCTGATTAGACTGCAAGGCATGAAACATTGACATTATAGAAGCACGTGAATTGATTTGGAAGTTGCTTACCCCCAAGGGCGTCGGTCTGCCGTCAAGGAACGTGTAGTCTGGTAGATTGGTAAGTGGTCCAAACGCGTTTGGATTCTGTGGAAGTCCCCTACTAGCACGCCACTTCTGATCAATGGACCGAACGGCTGTGAGAGCGACATGACGTTGGGCTAAAGGCAAAAGAACAACGTGCTTTGAATTAAATGCAGACCGCTAATCCGTAAGATCACTTACCTGTTGCTGTAGTTGTAGCTGCAATACACAGTTTTTGTATTTTTAACATTCTTTGTCAGGAAGAGCCGTCACATAACCAAATTGCAAATCACTTGCCACCTATCAAAAAATAGTATCATGTGGTTGCCACTCTGTCAATGAAAAAGTGGCAGAGCTGCAGCAGTATCGATAGCTTTGCCACCACTACTGATAGTGAAAAGAATCAAATAGACCAAGTTTTTTTAATTAATGAAATTGTTTTTAAGTAGGCCACATACAAATAAATAATGGCAACTAAAACGAGTACAATTGAACGCAATGCAAACGGCAGCGTAAAATCAGCGCCCCTCAGTGACATTTGCTCCCGCGCCCTTACAGCAAAGTCTGAATGGGACAAGGTAAGTGTGAAGCAACAGCACTAGATGTGGTTGTTGTATTTGCTGGTGGTGGGAGGAAGGTGCGAAACCTCTTGTCCCATCGTCTAGAAAAACAATTATTGCGCACCTGTAACGCTCTCATTTCATCTTGCAGGACGAGTTCCTGGACGTAATATATTGGTCACGACAAGTTTTTGGCATAATACTCGGCATTATTTGGGGAATAATACCGCTGAAGGGTTTTCTGGGCCTCGTGCTGTGAGTACCCCAGTGAATGCTATATATAGCAACAAGCAATCCTACAGATGTTTGACTTGCCATTTACAGTTTCGCCGGCATCAGCTGTGGCGTGGTATACCTATACGCCATTAATTTTCAGATGGTAGATGAGGAAGCTTACGGAGGGGCTTGGGAGCTGGTGAAGGAAGGATTCATGACGTCTTTTGCCGGCTTCTTGGTGACGTGGATAATATTTTACACCGGCCTACACTACGATACGATAATGGCTGCTAAAACGACAACATAAAATTGCAAATCGGAAGCAATACCAATTACCAGATCCAAAATTCAACCATTAAAATAACCGCTATTCCTGCAATTCCAATCGCGTAGCCAAATAAGTTAAAAATCGTTTTGACCTGTATTTTTTTAACTTGTAGATTGTTAAATTCTTAGCTAATTACGGAACCAGCATTTAACATTAATAGTTGCGTGTTGCAAGTTTGGAAGTTTTCTGTGAAAAATTCCTATCAGCAACTTGTTATCGAGAATAAAGTTTTGTAGTGCAGAATAGAGCCGGACGATTTGTTACTTTACTATGATATTTTTTTTTTCAAATTAAATGCGAATACTAGATTCGTTTTACACTAGCTTGTACAAAATATCGAGAAAAAGCTGGCGCGTTATTGCCTCACGTTTTCCCTGCATATCTTCTAGATTCGCAAAGCGTCCACCACTTTCACGCTCAATTCACAACAGCGCTCAGCTTTGACTCTTTTAGCCTCCTCTTTAGCATATCCTTGCAATGTTTGCTGTGGAAGAACTACCGAGCTGCACAGGGTGTTTTGTAATTGATTCTCTCATTTATTTCATGTGGCTCGATAAGTATCCGATAACAAGATTCAACAAATATTCAATGCACTGCCGCCAACCACGAAAAAATAGTCGGTATTTGATTTTTGAATATACCTATTTCAATGCATTACAATGAAGTTTGGTTGCTAAACTATATTGAACATGTTAATAGTTATTATGAGTTTTATTTTAATTTGCCTTAATTGGGTGAAAAACAAATTTGTGCTTGTGTAAGCTAACTGTGTGAAATTTTGCCAATAAATAAATAGCATATTTTACATTTTCTGGAGATTAATCGCAATTTAAAAATACATTCATGAACATTTTCTAAATATATTCAGATTATTTGCGGACTTCAACTCGAATATAGTTCGATCGGTCAAAAAGCATATCTTAATTATTAGAAATAAAAGTAAAAATAATTAAAACTAAAATTGGTTTTCCACTCTGAAAAAATGCCTTCAAACAACATAGTAGTTGAACTTATTTTTCGAAAAGAGAACCAATACACGAGGCGGATTTGGAATTTGTTGCGTATTATTCAACACTAAGTGTAGAAAGATTGGCAGTTTGTGCGCTTTACTTTTATACACGAGCAGTCGCGAAGAGCGTTCATACATACACATGTATGTACAAATTAAACGGCCTAGAAGTTCGTAGTAGAAAGTTCACTGAATTGTCGAAAAGGTAACTATTCGTGTTGCATAAATGTTTAGTGGTGAAGCCACTGCAAATTCAGTACAAATTCACACGCTCATCAAAATTACAATGTTCAAATAAATATGCATTGCCACAGCAGCAACGCAAGAGCAAAATACTAATTTTTTCTGTACGCATGAGTGTGTGCGTGTCAGTGATGGGCACTTTTATTTGCATGTGTGCGTAGTGACTGCCTGTGCTGAGGGAAAACAAAGAAAACTTCATAAAAGAACGGCAAAAGCGACGTAAAAAGTGTGATATGCGGGCAAATGGAAAAATCTTAAATGACAAATTAAATTTAAAATACAATTTAAAGTGAGTTTAGATGCAAGGCCATAATGCAACAGTGTACAAATTTGATTGGTTATTGATTTTTTGACACCTTTTTGATGCATATTTCTACTTGCATATACATACATACATATATGTAGATATGTATGTGCATATGTGTGTATTAATGTAGGTGTACCTTCTATGCAGGGCAGTATTTTAAAGAACATAACTGTTAATAATTTTCGTGGAATAGCAGCTAATTTATGCGACTAAAAATTTACTTATTCTCCGGCATCAAGCTCGTTGAGGCTGTTTTATCTAACAAACCGCTTATCTAGGTCAAAGGGAGAGCCTTGACCACAGAAAGGCAAGCAAGCTTGGGCTCGACGAGCTTAAAAATATATATGTATATTGATGTACCTACATATGTATGTATGTATGTACATACGGTGCTACTGCTGTTACTGCTGTTGACGATGCATACACACACATTGATTCGGTGTTGTTGTTGTTTTTATTAATGTTGTTGTTGTTGCTTGACGTTGGTGTTACGGGCGCATTGGGATCGCATTGCCACCCAAACCACCAACACAATAATCCACTGCACGTAATCCTAATCCTCTCCCAGCTTTATATTACCCACAAAGCTAACTCCCAATGTGCTCGTCTAGCTGGAAAAAATAAAAACGTAAAAAGTAAATGATTCACACCGTCAAACAGAAACACAAACACGCCTCCACAAAAGACAAAACCCCACGTACATTGTTTAGCTTTAATCGCTTCTTCAAAATTTCTCTCAGTATATCGACTCTGTCCAGCCTCCAAAACTCGGCACCTCCAACTCTGAATAAAAACAACAATTAAGAGCATGGATTATGAAAATACGGAGAACGACAACTATGACCATCCGAATCTATCATCAGAGAGCAGCAGCGTCAGTAGCAATAGTAACCTGCTGGGGAACGTGCCCATTTTACCTATTGTGGTGCAGCAAGCTCAGGACCCTGATGCGGAGCAGCCCCGACCCTCAACAGTAACAACAACAAGCACTACAACAACCACAACTACAGAAATTATATCAAACAATACACCCAACATTAGCATCAATTCGTCAGCCTTACAACCTTCCCTGGTCCCTTCAATCGATTCTAATATAACCACAAACACCCCTGCTGTCTCCACTAATTCATCTTCTGCTCCTGTTCAGTTTAATGCATCATTTTTGTTTGATATTCAAGTTGCATCGTCAACAGCAGCAGCAAGTTCGCACCCATTAAGAATATCAGGCACCACCTCAACACAACAAGAGCACCATTCAGACATTCAAAATGATACTGAAATTCAGGCAAATAATTCAAATGTCGCCCCTGACCCACAACATCATCAGCACCAATCACAACGAACAGAACAAGAACAACTTGAACATGTACAGCAACAACATGAACTTCATGAACAGCATTCTCCTACTCCTACTTTTCACCAGACTGCACCGCCTCCCACACCACCGCAACTACAGCCACAGCGCCCTGACGCTGACGTTGTAATCGAGGACGACGAAACAGAGGACGACGAGCACGATCACGAGGAGGAAGTCGAGCAGGAGGAGCAGCGACGACAGCTGCAGCCTGTGCCCCCAGAAATTATTGACGCCAACGCCATTGCTGATACAATCGACGCAGGCGCCATTGATAACGAGGAAGTCGGTGAAGATCCTGACGAGGAGGAGTCCTCAAATCAAGCTGCAACTGCAGCATCAGGCATCGAAGTGAGAGGCCAACGTCTGCACTCGGTAGCAGTGCTGCCAAGTGGGTCCACCGTCGGTTTCAGCGTAACTCGAGCCTCTCTGCCACAACTCCTTCGCGCGCCACGTCCAGTGGCCAATAATAACGATTTAGGTACCACCTCGGCGTCGACTTCTGCCTCCACCTCAGCGGACAGCACACGACGCACGCGGCACTTCTACAGCAACAACGGTAGTCATTTCAGCAACGACATGTTCAGTGCAACACAGAAGAGTCAGCAAAGCTCGCCAAAGACGAGCAGTCGGAATCGTCACCAGCAACGGCAGCATTCGCAACACCAGCAAAGCGTTGATCGCCTTCGAATGCTTTATCCGAATGTTAATGAAAACGAAACACCACTGCCTCGCTGCTGGAGCTCACATGACAAGTGCTTGTCCCTAGGCCTTTCACAAAACAATCTTCGCGTCACCTATAAAGGTAAGTGCCGCAGGCTAATGTTCAAATTTGAGGATGGAGCAACGATATAACGAAGTCCCTGGTATAACATATGTATATACATACATATGCCAGCTTTGTTTTGTTGCTACATTTGCAGTCATTGTGTGGATGTTATTTTTGTTTTGTTGTCTTCTTCAACGCTCACACAAACGTTAGCGCACAGCTGCTTTTGTCAGACTGCCATTTTTGGACAAAGCGAGTCAGCAAGAACAACAATGGTAACAATGCACTCTTGTTACATTAGTCGTCTCGCTCGCACACGCGCACTTCACGCTTGCAATGGTTTTTTGTTTTTCTTCTTTTACTTCTCACACACTGATTCGCGTGCCTTATTTTGGTAGCAGTGTGCGTGTACTCAACAGCTGATCAGAAAATGAATTTTTAAATGCTCTGCCAGGATTGTGCTAAAAGATTAGGGATTGTAAACAGGCTTGATTAACAATTTAACGGCAGTAATATGTTAGGAAAATATAAAATAATTTAGCTGGTTTCTTTGTTAGGTCTGCCCCTTAGCATCCTGAGTTTTTCATTGCACACTTTTCAAGTATACATACAATTTTATATCAAATGAATGACTATTTACATGCAGTTTTTTAAATAACTAATTTTTCGTCACTACGTCAGGAAAACTTGTAAAAACTAGTCCTTTTTTCTGAATTTAAACGAAATTAATTTGTATTCCGAATCTTAGGTCTCGGCATAAAGCACAGCGACGCAGCTTCAGTGCGCACTGCCTACCCAATACCATCTTCCTGCGGTCTCTATTATTTCGAGGTCCGCATTATTTCTAAGGGACGTAATGGGTATATGGGTATTGGCTTAACAGCACAGCAATTTCGAATGAATCGTCTGCCCGGTTTGTATTATTTATGAGTTTGTGTTAGTGATTCAGTGTTAATTGCATTACATTATTTAGGTTGGGACAAACAATCCTATGGCTATCACGGCGATGATGGCCATTCCTTCCATTCGTCTGGAAATGGTACCGACTACGGACCAACTTTCACTACCGGTGATATTATTGGCTGTTGTCTCGATTTTGTGAACAACTCCTGCTTCTACACCAAGAATGGCGTGAACTTGGGTGTAGCATTTAAGGACTTGCCTGTAAGTAATTAAAATATGTAAATATTGCGAATCATTTCAGCTCCAACCTGATTTTTTTAAAGACTAAATTATATCCTACTGTGGGCCTTCAAACGCCCGGCGAAGAAGTTGATGCCAATTTCGGACAGGAGCCATTCAAATTTGAGAAATTCGAAGAGATGTTGAAGGAGATGCGCGCCAATGTGCTCAGAAAAATTGACAGATATCCGCATCTCCTGGAAACACCTGAAAACCTAATGAGCCGGTAAAGTAGAAAGCATATAATTAAAATAAATTCGTCCCTAATAGGATATCTTGCAGATTGGTTTCCACGTATTTGGTTCACAGTGGTTACAGTAAGACGGCTGAGGCATTTAATGCCTACACTCAACAGCCCTTCGACGAAGATTTGTCATCCATCAAAACACGTCAAAGTATGTATTTATAAACTGTTTTCTACTGAAACTCGAACTTATTCTGCTTCTGATCAACTTTAGAGATCATCAAACTAATACAGACTGGTAAGATGAGCCAGGCCATTGAACACACAATACGGTCCTATCCGGGCCTCTTAGAGAACAACAAAAATCTGTGGTTTGCACTCAAGTGCCGCCAGTTTATCGAGATGATTAATGGCGCTGATGTTGAGGTGAGTGTCACGGGTAAATAATTTCACTATCGGGTATACCCGACCGTACCATTTTCCTAAATCTGGTCAACGATAAGCGGGTCATGCTTTTAATGACTGATCCCCAACTCTTTCAAAAAAGTAAGAAAACCATCATTTTTACTTTACAATATAACAGCACTCCAACAACAAGGTGACGGTAACCACGCAGACCATGCCAACAAATCAAACTTCTGTCATACAGTCGACCAAGGCCTTTAAGCACAGCAAAAGCAACAACACCAGCCAACCACAAAACAACACTGCGCAACTGGCTGTGATAAAGAATAGTGGGAAACAGCAACAACAGGAAATGAAGAAGTGCGTATACGAGTCATTCTATATGACTATTCCCCTTTAATTTTTTCCTCCTCAGCATGATTATTGATGATAATTCCAACAAATGTTTGGAGCACGATTCTAATAGCATGGATGTGGAAATGGAACCGTGCAACAGCCACGTAAATGGTGTGTAGTATCAAGTTTGTCATGGTAGGCCTTTTCAAAAACGTTGCCAAATTTTTATAGGTGATACGTGCTCCAATGGCAATGCCAGTGCAGCTCGCAACCCTCTAGATGCCATCGATGAGGAAATGGGTGTGTTATTTAATTGTTTGTATGAAAAGTATAAAGTAGATAGCACGATAAATCATACTGCCTGTACACCCAATGACCGTTTTTCAGAATCAAAAATTGTTTATTAAATATTCGTAGTTATTATATCATATCATATCATGTACACCAGACATTGGGAACTCTGGAGTATTCTATTGAAGAAAATTTTTTTTTAATTATTTATTTGCTTTGTTTTAAGATGTAGATATGTCACCCTCGTCGCGTAATTATGGTCGCGTCATTGAGAAAATTCTGGAGTTTGGTAAAGAGCTCTCAACCATGGGCCAGCAATTGGAAAAGGACAATCTTATGACGGAGGAGGAACGTCAAATGTTAGAGGTAAAAATATATTAAAACTAAAACAAATGATTTAAAGAGAAATAATGCTATATATATATATATATATATTTTGCAGGACGCATTTAGTTTGATTGCCTACTCAAATCCTTGGTCCAGTCCGCTAGGGTGGCTCTTATGTCCTTCACGGCGAGAAAACGTTTCTACCACGCTAAATTCGGCCATACTGGGTATAGTCTACACTATAACGTTTGCATTATCTTTTAATACTCAGTTTAATTCCATTGCGCAGAATCACTCCACTTTGAACGGCGCCCTCCACTCGAGTATTTAGTGGCTCATGCGGCCGAGCTCATTAAAATTATTGGACAGCATTCTTTGGGCGAGGATGCTTTCATTACCATCGACGATGTGTTCCCGCAAAATTGACCCAGTTCGCCGACGCTGCTGAAGATGTTTGAGACGACGCTGACATTGCCACGCACCAGCGTGTTGGCAGAACCCTCCACATCGACAGCTGCTGTGCAGACGACCAAGCGCCGGCGTAGACGCCGAAACAAAAAGCGTCGCAAGACTTCAATTTCAATAGTCGCAGCAGAGGCGCCATCACGAACCTACGATCCCGTGATGACGGGCTCCAATATTGGTAGTGCGGGAACAGGGCGAAGGGGTCGGCATCGGGGTGCCGCTTCATCGAGAGCTGCAGCAACAGCTGGGGCAGCAGCAGCGTCGTCATCTTCATCCATGGGACGTGGTAGTCCGGCACTTTTTGTTGATCCACATGACTTTTTCGAGACGCTCGACTAGTTTATCAACAATCTGTAGTAGGTTAATTTTGTTATTAATTTTTATTTTACATGCGCGTTTATTTAATATTTGTACCATTGTAATTGTTTAACTATTCTAAAATATTACAATTACTGTGTGATCGCGGTTGCGATAGTAGGGCTCGGCGTAGTTATCTTATAGCCTGATTTACCATACATATTGTTAGCATATTCATGCATATTTTATTTGGCTCTATATGTAAGCAGAAAAGTGTAATATTCTTTTAATTAAAGTAAAACACCTTAAAATTCGTGCTGCGCTACATCAATAAATCATATAATTTTTGTGCTGCGCCTCATTAATAATTAATCATGTATTTGCGTTATTCATTTTAATTTTATGATGCTTGCATGATGATAACACCAAAATCGAAATTATACTAAAAAAATTTAATATATAAAACAGAAAAATGTTTTTTGATTTAACTAGTGTTAACGTTCGCAAGTGATGCCAGTTGAAAATGTTCTCAACTTTAGGCAACATACATTTGTAAACTATGCATGTAAAATAAAATAGATGTATTTTGAAATTTAAAACATAAACGATAACTTAAAATTTATCCGCGTTATAGTGAAAAGTCCGACTCATATGCAATTAAGATTTACATACATATATCCAGCGTAACTTAAAATGTACTAAACAGTGTTGTGCTCATTTTGCATATAAATCCATCAGTCAGTTAACTGCTTAATTAAAAACTTGCAACAAAAACATATAATACCGTCAGAAAAGCATTCACACACACACAAGGCGAACAATTTAAAAAATTTACATTTATGTATTTTGGAAAATACACAAGGATTAATCTTTTTTGTGCAAAATTACATATATTTTGATGAATTTTTCATAAGACATGCAAATTAAATGCATGTTTTAAGTGTAATATTTGATGTAGTCTATAAGGCATATATTTACTAATTTTATATAGAACTACATAACATACATATATATAAACATACATCATTGGATAACCGTTCAAAAATATATGTATACATATGTATGTGTTTGATGATAACAAGTTCAACAGGATTTTTACTTAATGTAAGTTTGGCTGTCTAAGCCGTTGCACCCGTTCCACATTCTTTACATGCTCTTTTAACAATTGCATTATTTCTGTGTCGAATTGTGGCGGCGCTGGCTTCGTCCCTGTGGCCCAATAGTAAATCTCCCAGTCATTACTAACGCCATTGATAAGTTCGTCGTACTGGGCCGTTTGCGACGCGTTAAAATTTTGGAGGTACTTGGCCGCAAAGGAACTCAAGATCAAATCATTCTCTAACATGCCCCGTTTACGGGACTGGTATATTAAGCTGTATGAAATTTAACAAGTTTTTATATAAGTATATAAGATTGCGTATCCTTTTATTTCCTCCACCTACCGTTGCTTGCGTGTCGTCAGTGGTTCATTAGGACGCATTGGATACTCCGGCTGAGGCAAGTGTTGAGGATCATCATAATCAATTACATTGCACTGTTGTATGTCCAAAGAACTGCCCCGACTGTTAGTGCATCGAATTGAAACCAATCGGCATGCATTTGTTGAGCACTGCAAGCAATCTTTTAAAAATGGAAACAATATTTAAGTCTATACTGAACATACCAATATTTTACGTAGCATATTTAAATAAAAAAAAAAACTAAAAGTGAATTGGATATGATATAACGAAGCTTATATATTAGTGTTGTAAAGCATTAGTCTATAACGAATATCGATAGCACTGCTTGCATTGTCTTAGTGTTGCACAACTTTAAGGGACCAGCTGTTTTGCAATTCCGCTCCTTTATGACTGGGCAGCAGTAGTGGTGGAAGTAGCGCAGTTTGTAAATGAGAGCAGAAGCGGCGACGTACTGTGCTGAGAATTTTCGTATTAATAAAATCCAATATAAATAATTTTAAGGCCGTAGAGAAATAAAGTGTATTAAAGAAGTTCTCGTGTTCAAATTGTGCAACGGTAACTTTTAAAATCGACTTCAAAAAAGTGTTAATAGAGAGGGCATTACCAAAAGCAGCGGCGGGCGAAAAAAGAACCAAATACGAAGAACTGTATACATACATATGTGTGCTCCTCCGTACTTGTCGTGTGTGTATACATCTACGCTCGCTGGAATTAGGCGGTGGTAAATGTAAGGCTGAAAAAATTGCGTTGCCAGGGGGTGGGTGAGCAACGCATATCTACGTTCGTGTGTTTGTGCGTGTGAAAATGGGAATGTGGGAAGACTACATTAAAATTTGTATTGGTAACCAAAACACCACCCAACGCAACAGTGACGAAGACGACGCGCCCACGCAAAACGAGCCGCGGCTTGAAAACGCATTCGCTCGCATATGAAACTTAAATTTTTTGCATAAATAGGATAGGATAAGAGTGTTAACTAAATCGTGCCATTGCAGACTCTGTGGCATTAGTATTAATATAATTGGTTCATAAGTTCGGCAGCTGGGCCGACTCCTAGCGCCCGACATTCTTTTCTTTCCATTGTGCATGCCGGTTTCGCAGAATAGTTAACATTGAAACATTTTAAATATATATATGTGCATATTTACGCCCACGCTTGCTTTGCACATACATACTTGCACATTATCTACACGCAATGTTGATATGCGAGCTTGTAAATTCAATTTTATTTTATTCTTATAGTGATCACATCACCTCGTCCCACTGTCATTGTCCCACCCTCTAGTTTTTATATATATATATTTTTTTTTTTGCTACCACTCGATAGATTTGGAGTGCACAGATAAGATAAGAAATTGATGAATTCCTTCACATTATATAATGGATATGCTTTATGTTGTGTTTTAAGCCATATGCAAAGTGGTTAACTCTTTCGGTATTGTCACTGATAAGAGCGAACAGAACTTTTTTTTGTACGCAACATTATCAATATTAAAACAGTAGTTGCTGTAAAACTTGGCACTCAGCCTAAATATCAATATTTTTTGGCATCTTATCTATGTCTGGGTAACCATGACATGCGCCTAGTGTTTCATTTGCATTAAATGTAGGCATAGACGTCTGTGAGTCATTACATTGCCATATTCCGAGCTACTGCCCAATCACTTGTTATTGTTTATTTTAAAAGATATTGATGCTGCTTGCATTTGCCCTTTGGTTTTACAAGTTGTGAATTGTGTTCGATATATGTACCTACATATGTTTCAATTGAATTTCAGTGTGCATAAATTGTTTCTAAATAATTCGGAGGTTACAAACGCGAACACGTATACAAATTGCCAATTTTAATTGCAACAATAAGAAGTAAAAGCTACTTTGTGTATCGGTGCTCATTTATTTCCAAGTGCATTCAACTTGACGATTATCCCACGCCACAAAAAAATAACAACAATATGGGCTGCACTACCTCCGCCGAAGAACGCGCTGCCATACAACGATCCAAGCAGATTGAGAAAAATCTAAAAGAGGATGGCATTCAAGCAGCGAAGGATATTAAGCTCTTACTACTTGGTAAGTACCAGCAGATAAACTTTCATATACAATTTAAGTATTGGTGCATTGGGGGGCGCAGCGTCGGTTAACATTTTAATAACCAGCGTTGTTAATGAGAGTTCAACAAAATGTTCTTAATTATAACTTCATTTATCGCGTGTATCTGGCTTGTTCATTTTTGTTTCTCCAAGATAAAGTGAGTACTAACTATTGCTTACTTAATGTACATATGTATGTAAGATGCAAAAGGAGGTATCGTAAGCCCCATAAGGATAAATATTCTGTATCAGTACTCGTATGACGAGATGAGTCGATTTAGCTATGTAATATCTTCAGTTTTATTGAAAAAAACAACCACAACTAAAATGGAAATAAACTACCCATGAAGTTGAATTTGCCTCTCACTGGGCGTAACAATAACAATTTTATTCATCTATGGTCATCTGATGCTAAACTAAACTAAACTGTGTCGGTACTTCATGATATTTCATTAGAAAGCATTATTTCCAATTTGACCATCGCGACACATCAGTAATGTAACACCATCAAGCACATAATAAACAAAAGTTACATTCATTAAATATTTTAGTGTCTTTTTAAATAATAAAAATAAAATACCATAGTGCCTAAATATTACTACAAGAAACTAAAAACAAGTATGCTCACAACGCTATCGACGACTAGGTCAGAAATGGAGGAAACGCCATGTCCTGTCTACCATAAAAACTTGCTAAAGTTGAAGTGAAATATATGGCATATGTATGTGTTAGAAATATAAATATATGTCCTTACTAATATACTATAATATATGTGTTGCACTGAAAAGGACACAATTTATTCCACCAAATTTAACGGAAAAAGGAAGGGAAATGTTATAGGAAGTTGTAAAGAAATGAGTTAGTGCAAAAACCAAACTGAACAACTTGTCTTAGGTGGGAAAAACGAGAAGGTATCTCCGCCGACGCCACAGCTTTGTATGTATTTGTACTTATATACCCTTTACTGTGCCATACAACCCGAAACATTGTTCCCTTACACTCATGGCCCGCTAAGTATATGTCCAATTGTGTATTACATGTTTTAAAAATAAGCATAGGTACAAAGTTCACACGCAATGGCTCTAAAACTAAGAGATGTTATTGAAGCAATCTGTGGGTGTAACTGTAAAGAAAAAAAACACAATTATCAGATATCGTTGTTTTAAATACAATTAAAATCTAGTTCGAAGCTTTTGGCTAGGAAAATAACGATATTTATGATGATGGTGGCAACACGACTCAAGATATTTCCTTTTCTTTTCTAAAGGAGTGTCTCTCTTATTAGCTAACGACTTTAATCAAGAAATTCATGCTCACTACTGAACCTGCAAACATGCTTAAGTCATATATTTTTTATCCTATATCTACTTATTATAAAGAAAATTACGTATTAAGAAAATCGAAATATTCATTAATTTAATCTTGAAATAGCACTTGAATATAAAATGTCTCTATCAATTCACAAATGCATCATGAATAAGTTAATCTGATTTAACAGTTCTACACAACATATGACAACTTCCACTGGTCCCATGGCAAACAGCGCGAAATCAGCTCGCCAAATTGACACAAAAAAATAGATGTACATGAGTAAATCGAATTTAATTGACCCAAGTCAAATGTCGCACAAATGCTAATGACCGTCCAATCACCAAACGACCGCCATGTTAAAAATTACACATGTGCTCCACTTTGAATTTACTGTTGATGCTTGTGGCTGTGCCTGTAGCCGCAATCGTCGCTCATCACTATCACCATCAACATCAACATCATCGAGCTGCTCATTTACTTGTTGGTCTAACCCAATTCACTAAATAATTTCATTTACCCATTCATTGTTTTTGCGTTTGGCAATTTCCGACAAGCGTTCTTTGCACTAACCGTCCCTAGAACAGATTCACAATTTAACAGAACCTGAAAATGATAATTTAAGTAATCTTGTAGCAACATTTTAATACTCTACATTCGAAAAAAGGTTTAGGCAGTAACAAACGCATTTGCGCTTTTCTCCTGGTAATCCATCTCAGGGTTCTACTTATCCAAGCTTATTTATTTTCTCGTTGCACTTCTCCCTCCCCTGCTTCCCATAACTCTCTAATACGTGAAAATTTGTAAATTGTGTTCTGTAAGTGCTTGTTTATGCTCATCAACAAGTAGTTATAGATATTAATGTTTAATCTCAATGGTTCTATAATGATAAAACTTTACATGAGGACACAGGATCACAATCCATAGGGTTGGTTATTCTAGCTCTTATTATTCCTGAGATCCTTCAGATATTGACTCTTCTTCCCATACGGACGAGAAATAAACTATATAAACTTTATGGAATCTGCCAGCCTCCTTCTGTGTGTTAATATAGTCTCCCCTCTTTCACCATTCCTTCAAAAACACGATTACATAAATTGAGATAAAACTTTTGAGAGTTACAGAAATTATAATAAATGGTTTTTAGCGGGAGCGGTGGCGGGAGTACACGAAAATGACGTGTAAACGTGCACTTCCTTAAATATATGGTACACTAGTACTAGCACTACATGGTACAGTATACTAGTACTAGTATCATATTTGGAATTTGCTACTTTTATATTTGCTTCTGCGATGCATGCGTATAACAATTCCATTAAAGGGCCGGTGAAAGATTTGTGTGTAAAGAGTATAAAACGGTTAGGGTTTTTCTACTGTGCCATTCCGTCGTCTAGTGAGTGGGTTCACAAACTCCCTAAATGGAGTTTACTCGCGCTGGGTCTTAAATTTGTGTGTGTATGTATACATGTGTGTCCCTTGGAGAGCGCGCGATGTGCACATTTGACACTGCCGTTGTCCTTGCTGGCATACTCGTTCATTGGCTGCCCGTTTGGTACTCGTCACTCGCAGTCGTATTATAGCTTTCTTGCTGTATTGGGGCATGCGTCGTTGCTTTGTGTTGGCCCAGTTGGAGCACACTGTTATTTTCAGTGCAAGTTCAGGTGTGCTTTTTCGCATGCCCTTGTATTTTGCTCTCTCAATCTTAGTGCGTGTGAGTTAACTCTATGAAAATTTCAATATTCCTAACCTTTCAGCTTTCCACAAGCTACTTACTCTCCCTCTCTATTCTCACATATGTAGCTTTTTCAGTTGATGCTTTTACGCCCATTCAGTAAATGTGTGTGTACTAGTTTGTAAAGCTTTTTCTGCCTGCCACTCGCTCGAGCGCCTGTTTCGCGTACGCTTATACAAATGTGAGAAAGTTTGTCTGTGTGCTACGTTTAGGGCGGCTCCGTTTCCTTAGCAGTTTAATGCTTAGCCTACTAGCTAACTAGTCAACTGAATCAGTTAGTCAGTATAGTTAATTCAGAAATAAAACGCGTCGCCGCCAAACCACAGAACATTTTCAATGCACACCATAAAGCTTTTCCAAAAATATACACGGAAAAGTATTGAATTTAATAAATAATTATAAAAGAAATTATAAAAATTATCCAATTATTCTGAACAATTTCTCCAAAATTTATATTGTGTATAGTGAGTAGTGCTACGAAAGTATACATTTTAACCAAAAACAAGTGCTGCCGAAAATTGTGCCTTTGTAGAAAAACGGAATTCTAAAAAAAATAACCACACCATAAACCACCCACCATTTTGTTTCCTTTTTACTACAGACCATACTAGTTTTCATTGTATACTACAAAATAAAAAGATAAAGAGTAACAAAAACTGTTCCCGGGAATATTCTATATATATTATAATTTGTATCCTTTCAATTGTTTCAAATTTATTTTATGTAAATGAAAATTACGACGAAATTTTTCTGTATAACGAAGAATATTTTTCGCGAATGATTCATTTACGTGCTAGCTGCTGCTGCTGGAATCGTGCACCAACAAAAACGAGTACAAAACAACAACGAAAAGAGCAAGAATACAAAAGAAAACTTGAGTTTTGCTTATTTTACTGTTTAAAAAAAAAACAACAAACATACTATAAATTATTCTGTACGCTACTGAAAAAAATTAGTGCATTGCAAAGAAAATGTTACTATAAGCTTTATTCTTTTCTGCTATTTTGCGTCAGCATCAAGAGCGTGCGTGTGTATATAATTATGATTGTAGTATGTATGTGTGTGTGTGTGTGTGTAAAAGTGCTTATGGCCACTTGCAAGAGACAGCAGTCAAGAGGATGCAAATCATAACCGCTAAAGAACACATGGCGAATAATGCGTATTTAATTACAGAAATACACGCATACATAAAATAATGAGGAGCTGCCATCTCCATTGTTGACCACGCCGACACTTCAGCGTGTAATGTGTTCAGCATTTTATTGATTTTTGAGCGCGTTTTGCTGGCGTTATTTTGTGCGCAACACTTGTGCCTAGACTTAGCGGTGCGTTTGCGTGCCTCTGTATGTTTATGCGTAAGCTTCACGACATACACATACACTTTGGATGCATGTCCCACAATATTTCATGCTATTAGCTATGTGGGAATTATACCAAAAATATTTTTCCCAAAAACAAGCGACAAATTGTTTTGTATCTGCCAAGATATACATTTTCTCTTCTCAATATTGTGTAAAATATGAAATAAAATCTTTAGAAAGTTTTAATTGAAGTTTTTCAAATATACTTACATATCCAGAAGCCAAATCCATACTCATACTCACGCGCAGATAAATATTGTTCGCTCTCTCTCTCTCTCTTTATCTTTTGCTCTCTATTAGCTAAGCAGTTCGAAAATGATTTTCGAACTTACTCGTTACCCCAAACTCTGAGCTTGTTGGGTGGTTGAAAAGCGTGCAGTGCATGCAACCAAAGTTTGTTGCTTTTTCACTCATTTTCCACAGCATCCGCGTGTAGAACGTACATGCCACAAAAGCCTTGATAAAAAGACGAGCTGTTCTGAATTTTATGTACTATACGAGTATATCCGGAAAATCAACAGCTAAAAAATAAAAAAAAAATGTAAAATAACACCACAGTTATGTCATTAATGTTGAAAAGTTGTAGAGCTGTGAACGCATCTCCCGCAACTCAAATTCAATTACAGTGCTGGGGTGAAAACAATCAGTGAGATATTAAACGGAAAAAAAACTTTATTAAACAAAAATATAAAACAGCCCCCTAAAAGACTGCAATTGGTTCACATTCCAAAGTTGTTGCAAGCCAAGTACAAACTCGAGAACATTTTTTCGCATTTGCTCTGTATTCGGCCATTTAGTGGCCGATATAAACGACCTTCAAAACGTTTTGTGTCGAGGCAATACGTACCATGGGCTGCGCACAGTCTGCGGAGGAGCGAGCCGCAGCCGCCAGAAGTCGCTTGATTGAAAGAAACCTCAAAGAGGATGGCATACAGGCGGCAAAGGATATCAAACTTTTGCTATTGGGTAAGTTATTAGGCGCAAATAGAGAAACGCTTTTCCGACTTGAAATGGCGCGATTAAATTGTGTGGTTGGTTGTGTGCAAGCTTTTTATATCTATAATAAACATAGCATACTTTACAGCTGCTGGCGCATTTAAATGGACGCCGTTGTCCTTGCCGTGTCAGCTTTGGCGTACAGTTTAAATTCACATTCACACACGACCACATGAATGCTCAACATTCAAACGCACGTGCAAAAGGAATTTGCAATAAATCTAATAGTTCAGCGACCGATTTTGTAAGGTTAAAGCTCAATTATACTTGTAGTTGCCACCGATGATGGGGTCGTACCACGTTTCTTTTTAAGCTCAATACTTCTACTTTCACTTGTTTTCATATTTAACGTTAAAAACCGCCTTATATATTAATTGTTTATACCCTGGAACCGCGGGGAAAAAGGCACAGCTATTAAGGTAGCTTTAGCCGAAAATCTTATATCTGCCCAAACTTTGGCTCGGCATTTGTTGTGATTCAAGTGCACACAAATACATGCTTTAGAACCGCCATCGGTAGAAAATTCTTCCTAACATCTTTAGCAAATCTGGTAGTTTTGGGCTTTCGACATCGGTCCACTATGTCACTAGCTGCCATAGGAGAATTTAGTGCAAAGATCAGTCCTAGTGTTAAAAAGTGTACTTTTTATTTCCATATTGTATCCAATACTCAGTTTGTATTTATAGGTTTTTTTTAACCTCGCCATAGCTTTATTTCCTATCAATCTCAATGAACTATATCTTATGGCTGTCATAGAAATGATTGTTACAAAAAATTGTATTTTATTTGAATAGTTGTGGAGGGGAAAGGATATTCAAGAGCTGCCCACGAGAGTAAAATGTATACTACTTTAACGTTCTACTCGTTTTTATTTACGAAGGCATAGCACCGTCACCATTTGATTGTGTTTGAAATGAATAATGCATTAAAATTGAATAAATTATAAAGGTATTGTTTAACAATTAATGTGAGCAATACTGTCTGAATTCGAGTTGCATTAGTTCTGTATAAAGAAACAAAAATGGAATGTTAAATCGAGCGGACTCAACTATTTGATCAAAAAAGCGTTTTTTTTTTTTGGTTTTTTGTTGAAATCTTTTATTGTTCACTTCAAACAAAAAGTAGAATCCATTTAAACTCATTGTCATAAATAGACATTGGTAAACTTTAGCGCGCCAATTCTCTTACGACAAATATAGCAGAACCGATTTCGGAAATCATTAGAATATATGAGGGCATTATAAAAAACTCAAAGATAGTAAGTCAGAGTTAGTCCAATTGGGGCATTTAAATTAAAAATCCCGAGGTTATGGTGGTTTTAACATTTTAATAACCAACTGAAACAACAACATAGCGCTTTCGAAAAGATAAAAAACAGGAATAATGAATAAAGTTATTCCAACTCTTACCTTAGCTACAGACTTCCTGCTGAAAGCTGTACTACAAGTATTAGTGAAGTGTGCTTCGTCCCTATATGGACAGCAACTCAGTATATCAGAGGGCTTTAGAATTAATTACTCGCTATGTGTGTGTGGATTTCGTAAACAAGGCGAGAATACCTTCTGAGTGTTTATTTCAGTTAGAAAGTATCCATTGCCTCTTTCTTGCTGATGTGTATGTAAAAAGTTAAAAACTATTTCACTCGGCATAACACTTAAAAAAAATGTCGGTGTCGAGCGCGGGCTATTTATAAAAGTCTTAACAATTACAAGTTAGGCGCATTGAACTTTTGGTAACAGAAAAATCCCCACAGAGCTAAGAGCAAATGCTCTTTGTTTGTCTTATTGTAAATATTTCGGGATGTAAACACAATAAAGTTCGATGCTGGACAACTTTGTTTATTTTTAGCTTCACAAAACAATATTTAGGCTAGGCTAATTGCTTATTTACCAATGAACTCATGCTGATCACATTTTTCCCTATAACTTGCGGTCAGCAACGCCTTAAGTGTCCTTTTAGTAAAAATACGCAATATTTATTGTAATATATAATGTGTAAAATTTATATTTGTGTTAATCCACAAGTAGACTTTAAATAGTAAGTCCCGGATTTATAAAATGATCATTAGATGGTTTGCTTGTCTAACTATGCCTTAAAGATATGTCAGAAATATCGAATTCACTCACTCATAAGTATTGGACAACTTGGGAGCTGTTAAATGTCGTACATTAAGTTAAGTTTCAAACTGTTCATTAAATAAAACAATATATAACAATGTAGAGAATGATGTATAGTTTAAGTGGAATTAATATTGCCATAAATCTAGCCGTGGGTCAAGTTTGAAAATTCAGAAACTCACACAGCAGTGTACACGGTACTATAGTAAAGCTATATGCCGACATCAAATGCACTCTTGTCGGCACATTGGCCGGCCCGTTAAATAGTTGAAAATCACATCACCGTATCATCAGAAACAAGACTTGCAGCAGACAGACATGGTACCATAGCCATATCCCCAACCTCAGTGACAATCAACGTCACCACCACTGACCATAGGCAAGAAGACAATAAGAGTGAAACGAATGTTGTACGAGTACACAGACAATTAATCCTTTGTTTGAAACGCTTGGAAAATGCAGCAAATATGATGATGCTGTCGTCGAGTATTCCAAGAGAAGCACCAACAGCATTATAAGAGGATTACTTGATGACTCTGTGCAGTGGCTCGGAGGCACGGGGCGCAAATGTATGAGCACGAGGGTGTTAAAAGCTATTAAGCTCTACTTGTCGAATACAAAGCGCACACATTTTCCTCTTTCTATATAAATATTTATATACATACATATATAGTACATGCCTCCTCCCACATGCAAGTTTCAGTATCAGTATACAGCAGTATACATAAGCAAGCGATTGACCTTCTTACCCTCTATGACATTTTTCTTGCATTCTTATCTTCATGCTTACTAAACAAACTAAACATTACATTCCTTTCCCTTATATCTGTTTTTAGGTGCCGGCGAATCGGGCAAAAGTACAATAGTGAAACAAATGAAAATCATTCACGAGAGCGGCTTCACTCCCGAGGATTTTAAACAGTATCGACCAGTTGTCTACAGCAACACAATACAATCATTAGTTGCAATATTGCGCGCCATGCCAAATCTTAGTATTCAGTATAGCAATAATGAACGAGAGGTAACTTATAGCGCTCGATTGCTCAGCATTTGTATATCCACTGTGTAATATTTTGTATCTTCTTTACTCCAGAGCGACGCAAAAATGGTCTTCGATGTGTGCCAACGCATGCACGATACCGAACCCTTCTCAGAAGAACTGCTGGCTGCCATGAAACGACTTTGGCAAGACACTGGCGTACAGGAATGTTTCTCGCGCAGCAACGAATACCAATTGAATGATTCCGCTAAATAGTGAGTAATATTTATTAATATGTAAACATCAGGGATTGTTTTATCTTTTCAGCATCCTATTTGGATCGAACTATATATAGTCTAACAAAACGAGAGTCTGTCTATTTGTTTGTCTGTATGTCAGTCTAATCCGTTTATTTGATTGGGATCAAATTTTATTCAATTTTTTGTGTGTTCGAGGCAACAATTTAATATATACAACAATTGCTCTGTTCAAAGATATTTACAAAATTTTATGCAGCTAAAAGTCGAAATAATAAGACGGTAAAATAGCTCCAAAATCAACCCAGCAGGATATCCAGGCACGTTAGATACCTTTTTTGAGTCAATGCATTTTTTTTTTACTAAATGGCTTCCTTAAGAAAAATCTGTACACAAAAGTTTTACATCGATTTACAATTTACTTTTTTTTTACTAACGTCTTTTTTTGTTGTTGTTTAATTTTTATTTAGTTATACTATACAATAAATATGTACAACATATAGCCATAGTAAAACATTGCAATAAAGCACGCAAGCAAGAAGCAGCCAAAGCCGCAAGAACTATTCCTATATACATATTCTACTTAATGTATCCGTACACTGTTTGCTCAATAATTAACGGTGCGCATACTATTTCTTTCAACAAAAACTTCCGCAAGCGCAACGAGTTAGCAAGTAGACCATGGAGTAAGCGGAAAAGAGCAACTTAAAATATCACACATCCGCGCTGTCGCACAAAATCCAAGCTTTATAGCCTTATTTATCCCTGGGGGTTAATTTGAAATTCAGCGGTGACTTCGGTATGTAGGTGGAGTTCACTCTGTACACGAATTCATCAGAGCTATAAGACACTTCGTATTTGCGAAAGATCTGCAGCGAGGGTTAGGGAAACTCAAATTCGTTTATATACATAAGTGTATTTTGTTCATCAGCATGCTCACCTTGGCAAGTAGAGTGTGCAATTCGATTTCCGCAAAGCGCCTTCCCACGCACATACGACGGCCAAAGCCGAAGGGCAAACTGACAAACGGATGAATCTTTTGGCCAGCATGTGGACAGGCGGCCACTGACGACGACGTAGAGTTTCCTTTAATAAATTAAATTATTAATAAAATTCATGCACATAAACGCAATAGCGTTTGCTTACCTGTCGCATTCTCTTTTATCCAACGCTCGGGCAAAAATCGCTTGGGCTCTGGGAAATATGTTGGATCATTGGAGACAACCAAATGCGGAAATATGACGTGCGTCTGTGTAGAAGTAAATGACAGAAAATTGCCGCTAAAATGAATAAACTAATTATTTAACTAAAACAAAGCGAACTTACGCCCTTCGGCACATGATAGCCATTTATAACTGCATCCTTTTGCAAGCTGCGTCCATTGGCAATGACAACAGGGCGCATTCTGTGAATATAGGGTTACTTTTAGTTGAAATAGGAATTATTCCCGTGTCCGATTTCTATCACCATTTTATACCCTGTTCTTGGAGGTTTAGGCTGGCCATCATTAAAATAAATAACTCGTATTTCACTTTAAATTCGAAGAAAGTGACTCGTTTTAAGCGACCTAGTCAGCCCTATTTTACTAAACTGAGTCGACTCTTGCTACTTACCGAAGCGTTTCCTTAACACATGCTCGCAAATAGGGCATTTGCTCCAGTACATGTTGATTGATTTGGGCGTCAGGTGTGGGAAAGATGTGCTGCAATTCCTCAAACAGTAGTTTCTGTTTCTCGGGATTCTTAGCCAGCTGATAGATGGTCGATGAGGCGGCTACTGAAGTCTGTGTACATAAATATTGTGTGCAATGCAGGCAGTCAGTAATTTTTACAACCCTGTCAACAAACCAATAGTTACCGTGTCGACGCCCACCAGAAACAAATCCAAGGCCAACACAGCTGCCAGTTTTCTATTGCCTGTTTTGCGCACAATGCGCTCCACAATCGAAATGTCTGCCTCGCTTTTAGGTTGCTCCGATGCCGCATCTGCCTTGTCCATGGTCAGGCTAATGTTTTTCATGCAAATGCTGCAGTGACACAAATAATCAATGTGACAAATAACGGCAACAGCTACAAAAAAAAAACAAGTTAAACCTACGCCGTGAACTGGTCCAAGGCTCGCACAAAACTGCGATATGCCTTTGTGGGATAAATGCGCCACAGCGGCATCCGAAGCTCGAGCTCTGGCACAGCCCAGAAAAACGTGTTGATGGCCTCAATAATTTGCTGGGCCTCCTCGCTGCCCTCAGGTGACAGGCAGCCCAGGCGTGTGTCCAACGAGACGCGACCAACAGCTGCAACATGAGAGGCAAGTGGCATGTTTTGATAATTAAGTGGCAACTGGTGCAAGTGCTACTCACATTCCAGAGCCCATTTATAGAGTTCGTGCAAAAAGTTGCCGGGCAGTTCGTCATTTTCGTCGCGTAGCGCATCTATGCTGTAAAGAAAGAAAACATATAGTCTTAAATAGACTTAAACTGACTACAAGTAATAAAGTATCTTCTTTTGCAAATTATCTTTCGACTAGTTTTCTATGTACATAGATATACTAGTGGCCTCAAATGCCAATTGCTTCTGAATGAAGCCAATAAGCTCAATTAGACAATGAAATAGTATACTACGTATACGTATACTTTATTGATATTCTGCAATAAAGTGCAGAACCTTTTGCACTTACCGTCCCATAAATTCACTGGCAATGTCATTCAACGGAGGTATAAACTTTTTTGCGGTTTGTGGCTGCAGCAAAATGTGTTGAACTTCTTGGCGAAAGTCCTCCCACTTGGGTCCGTGCCTAATTACGGTAACCATAACAATGCAAACAATATGAAATGCAAACAAAACACAAAGTTGAATATGTACTTCTTAGTATTCTTATGCGCTGACGTTTCAAGCGAATGCCAAATGCAACCGCAGTACTTACACTCCAATTAGTCCTGCAACATCGCCAAAAAAGTCGCGCCGCAGATCGCCCTTGTAATGCCTCAGTGACGGCATTGAGGGCCTAAAAGTAGAAAACATGTGTATAAGTATGTGTGCGTGAGAGCCTTTGACGTACTTGTATGTGAAACAGGAGGAGGCTTGTTAATATATTTCAAGTGTGTAAGGAAAAAAGCTAAAAGCTAATTCCCACCCACAATCCTATAAAAAGGTAATTATCGAAACGATTTTACGCTGCTGCAGAGCTTTCTTTGATCTTATTATACATTTAACACCAATTAGCCATGGCTAAATGTTTTCATACCCTGTACTAAAAGAATCAAAGGAATATATTTCACATATGAAAAGAAGCGTGGCCGACGTGTAGTATGTAAGGAAAAAAGCTAAAAGCTAATTCCCACCCACAATACAAAACCATTTCTGCAGAGCTTTCTTTAATCTTCTTACATTTAACACAAATTAGCCATGGCTGAATATTTTATACCCTGCACTAAAAGAATGAAAGGATATAGCAGGTTAGGGTGAATGTATTTCACATACGAAAAGAGACGTTGCCGACCTTGACCAGAACATCTCTATGGCGCCTATTTTTCATCGTCAAAGTTCGTGATAAAGTTACAGCCGTAAATATAGGGATAAAAAGAGTCCAGATGGTACCTTCTACCTGTTGCGTACACCTCATGTAACCCATGTACCCGAAACATATTTAAGAAGTATTTAAGTAAAGAGCTTTCTAAAATCGAACCCACGCGACACTAGCATTCCATTATTCTTAAAATAAATGTTATTACTTAATGAGTGACTTAACTGATGATAGCATACGTTTTAAATCATTGTATTTATTTTTATCTTGCAGCCAATAGGTTTTTATAGCTGTGACTACCAGGATCTTAAGCTAGATTATCCCATAAATGCGTTGGTGAATTCTAAAAGAAATAAATTATGTAGTTATTTACATAATTTATGCTTAGAAGAAAAAAGTTAATCGAGTGAAACGCTAAAAAAAAAGTCATGCCATGCCTATTCTTAAATTCCCTGTACCCGAATTCCAATTAGGCTGAACTTTATTGTAGGAAACATAGTTAAATAATATAGTAGGTCTATCTGTATCAAACTTTGCACTATTATGATTATTATTTATTGTTTTCTTGGGCAATCCTTGGACTCATCATATTGTACATCAAGAATATAGTACATATGTAAAATAGAAGATGAGCTCTTCCTTACTTGTATTTGTACGAAGTACTTGTATTACAGGGTATTACAATACGAACCCCATTTAAAAGCTATTCAATTGGCGCTGGCCATGAACAGTAACTTCGGAAGTTAAGGCGGCGGTGTCTTCAAATGCTTTTGTACCTGACTGACCACAACATAAAGCAAATAAAAAAGGTTGACCTCTTTCGATAGAGTATACTCGTACCTCTTTCTAGCGCTTTGGAAGCCACAGATGTCATTGGAAGATTATGCGCAAAAGCAACAACCAACCAACTTATGTATGTAGGTATGTTGTACTGACATGCGGCTGGTGTTTTTGTTGCTTTTGACATTTTTTGTGATGGGCAAACCGCTGACTAGCCGACGGAATGACTGACTGACTGACTGACTTACTGACCGTTTGACGAACTTGGGCGTTTTTAAAACTTTCTATTTAGACCACGAAAATTTTTGCTGACCTCTGCGTTCCCCATGGTACGCAAAACGTTTTTCCTTTCATTTAGCACTTTATTTATGATCTGTGTATAATAAAAGTTTCGACTTCAGTCATAAAAAATCGGACACCCCGGTTTCACGCACGGTGTTGCGACCACGCCTTGCTGTTGCTGTTGCTGTTGCTTGCTCAAACTTTTGTTGTATAACTTCCCATTGACACTAATGGCGCGCTTTTTAACTAACTTTGTGAGTTAAAGGGCTTGCGGACAAGACCTTTTCTCAAATCTTGTCGAAACTTGTCGAAAGTCTTCATCAGTTGTGCCGTCAATCAGTCAATCAGTCAGTCTGTCTGTCGTCTACCTTCACGCATACATTGCAAACGGTTGTCGGCAAACATTTATATTTATATGGGTATTTGTTTATACACATGGCTATAAACAAACATATCGTACGTATACGCTCATTACACTAATACGCATTAATGTCGATTTATTAGCTATTTGTTCGAAGAGTAAATATCTATCTGCCTCTTTAATCATGACTTGCAGTTTTAGCCACCGCCTTTCCTTCAGTTTCAACCCGTTTTTGCTTTGGTAGGCGTACAAAAAACAAACATATTTTGCGCTGTTTGCCATCTGCGTTTCGCTTGAACCATTTTTTTAGCTTGTCGATTCGGACATTTTGCGTGCCTATTGAATTCAGCCTACCTTATATCATTATTTTAAAATTGTAAGAGAGAGAGAGAGAGCATACAAAAAGACTCGTTTATTTGTTAGCTTTAGTTCATGGACAAATAAAATAGCGAAAACTAGTAAATACCAGTATGTATATGAAAATGGTAGTGGCTTGTAATCAAATTTGCCAAAAATATATTCGATCGCCTACTCAATGCAAATGTATTCAAATCTATTGTCCACGAGTTTAACAAAATATGTATGCTGTTGTTGCATTTGTATTTGCGTATTTTAGGTCTGGCTAAACTGGTCATTAAATTTGTATACCATTTACATTAGTTAATATACTATATATACATATATACGGGTGTTGGCTGCATCTTTAACTCTCTTTTGAATGTACTTCTACTACCCAAAAAAATTTGTCAATTCACACAGATACATTTTCACACATAATACTTGTATGTACTATAATTCTAAATATGTTTAGGTACACACAGCTCGTTTTATTTTATTTCATCCGCGCCCAATATTTGGTTGAAATATTAATAAATAATTGTTGCCTTCATAGTTGAAGAATGCCACAATAAAAACTAAAAACACAGTGCACACAGGGAGTCGTCTACATACTTAGACCTCAAACTAAATTTCTTCTAATTACACAAAAATAGAATCGCGTGCACGGATAATTTGTCTTTTAGGATTGAAAATTGACATGAGGTCAAATAAGCCTAACGCACTGTAGTTTTCTACCTTCTTAATTAAAGCAAACAGCAGTCCTCGCAATTACCTTAGTATATTTAATTAGCATTGTGATGTGCTTTTAATTTCATTACAAGTCTACCCACAAAACTCCCGCTCTTGTATTTTATAATGTAATTTATTAAACCCGACCCCTGATGCAGCCCAGCATAATTGCTCATGTCACCTCGCCCTTCCTCTCTGCATCCCAGAAAAACAGAGGCTTTAAAGGCAACCTTTATCATTCTGTCATCGTGACAGCACATTGAAAACTTTTTTGTAAGGCATTTATTCATGCTCATCATCAATAATAAATGTTGTTAAATTAAAAGAACAATGTCATAATAGCGATTCTTGAATACAAAATTGTCTGAAAAGTGACTTACATGCTGCAACAGGAGCTTCATTATACTTGTACACTTTGTTTAGGTCTAATATTTGTGTGTTGCTATGTAACCTTTTTGACTTGAACTTTGACTGCTATCGAGTTTCTATACTTTCCCAAATCATCTTCGGTATAATCTCTGGCCACACACACTCGGCTGCCCTTGTCGCTGTATTCCATTTTCAACAGTTTTCTTTTTCCACGAATTTTTTCAAACCAACAAATTTCACGCAAATTACTAGCTATGCTGCACAACGTGTCGTATACTTGATATATTAACGTAGCAAAAGACAAGACCCATCACTCATATCATATGAGTTTGCAAGCGGATTTATACAGGGTGCGCCATCTTTTATGTCGGTATGCAAACATTGAATATCCTTGAAAATAAACAACCGATTTTCAAGTATGAGATATTTTTATTTAATTTGGTTCTGTACAATTTCTTGAACTGAGGTTTTCAACACTGGTCTACTCAAGTCAATCGGTTCACTAATGACAAAGTTATTCAATATCTACATACCGGCATAAAAGATGGCGGACCCTGTATCAACAACCTGCACTCACCTGTGGGGCATGGCCTCCTCCTTTTTGAATATGTTGCGAATCTCGTCACCGTCGAAGACAAACAGCAAATCGGGATGCCCAATCAGTCCGCCTACCTTCGCCATTTTGCCGTAATTTACATGCAGCTCTTGCATCACTTTATCCAGTTCACTTATTTTATACGGACCTGTGCAAAAAAACAAAACAAAAAAAAAATGGAGGCCACAAATGTTAATGAAAATTGACATCACGCCTGAAATGCGTTGCGCTTGCTTACCAATTAGGGGCGCAAAGCGCCAGGAATTGCCTATTAGAGGCAACGGACGTGGTCCCGGCACATCGGAGTACGGACGCACACCTGTGTTCACACGCACTGTTGTTGGGGGTGTCGCCACCACCGCTGGTGCTGCTGTTGCACTCGTTTTTGTGCTGCAAAATATGAATATACTTGTATTTAATCAATAAAAACAACAAATGAATGCCAAAGTCGAGCAGGCTCAACTCTTAAATACCCTGTACCACACCACAAAAAATAAATTAATTTAATTGTATTAATTAAATAATTTAATTAATTAATTTTTGGATTAAGATTATCTAAATTAAATATAACATATTCCATACATGCATACATACATTTACATCAGAATCGTGCCAATGCGTGTTTGTGTACTTGTACATATGTATGTATGCATTGGGCCTGGTTATACGGCTAGAACTTTCTTTCTGATCAACCTATCATAATGAACTTGGTATACGGATATATAATCACTAATTGGATGTGTTTACCAAATTTTAGTTCAAAATTGCAAGAATTACGGGAGTTATAGAAAATCGTGAATAGGGGGGGAGTGGGGGGATGCATCGGGAAAAATGAAGAAACTCGTCCTTTCTCGGACTCAGGAGAATCTGTATACCAAGTTTAGTTATTCTAGCTCTTATACGTTCTGAGATCCTTGCGTTCATACAGACAGACGGACAGACAGACGGGCAGACTATATCGACTCGGCTTGTCATGCTGATCAAGAATATATATACTTTGTGGGGTCTGCCTCGCCTTCTTCTGTGTGCTACATGTACACTCGCACAAAACTAATATACCCTTGTAGCCTTTGGGTACAGGGTATAAAAAAATGATGTAATTAACGAGTACAGCGCTCT